AATGGTCTGACCAATGTCGATCTTAATGAAAACCTAGTAATGGTCTGACATTATGATGTGATATTTTCATAATATAATTACAACTCAAAGTCTTATAATTTGTTACAAATGTTTCCACAATTTCAACGTTTATGTTAGTGATTCGATGGAATTTTCGGATATGAAGGAAATGCTGACAGAGTACATTGAAAAAACTTTTAAGGACCAATTCCACGAAGCCGACTACAAGAGCATTCTTTCAGAGATTTCATCAAGAATCATACCAAATGATGTTTCGAATACTATTTTTACGAAGAAGATCGATAGACTAGAAGAATTGGGCGAATGTTTTGATGTTTTCTGTTAAAAAAATCGACAGATAATCTCAAAATAAGCTATGCGTTATTGCGTTGCGTTGGCGACACCTAGTGATGGTAGAAAGCAATAAACTCAACCGTATCCGTAGACATCTACAAAAATGGTAAATTTTATCACGGTACTAAATATTATACCTATCCTAGTATCCTGTTAGTGCTGTTTTTTTCTTGGACTCTTGGAGTTGTCGCACCCTTTGTAAAACGTATATTGCTCACTGTGATCACAATGAATAGTATGCCATCGTCCACCAATATAGAATATTGGTGCAAATGCAGTAATTACGCGCACATTGGCATCACTGGCGCAATATTACCTCGCTATTCGCGATAGTAAATAACACGTACAGAGACTGCATGTCTCTGTCGCCCCAGGCCCCACCTGACGGCAGCAACTCGAACACTTCTGAGTGGTTTGTTTTGATGATATGACCAATTAGCATAAACAAATGTGAACCAATGAAAACAAAGTAAACATGCCGCTTTGACAGCTTTCAAGAGCTCCGGTAGTTGGCGTACGCTTATTTTCTATCTCGAATGGTGCCATGGCTAGACTCTAGTTAAATAAAGAATACGCATGATTTTACGTTTAATCGAAATTATATTCCTTCTTCCTTATAATAACATTGGATATCATTAATTTTTCTCAAATTTGCTTGTGACTCTAAAAAATTTCATTTAAATGAGGCTAAATATGAAGTCACAGGAAAATGGGTTAGTGGCCATTACTAATATTATGACGTCATAGTATTAGGCCGCACAGCCATAGACTAGCGTGACAGAATGACAAGATTCAGATTGAAAAAAAAGAAGAAGAAGAGGTAGGAGAAGAAAACAGTTTTAAACGCCAGAAATTTGAAATTTGAAAATGGAAAATGATAATATACTGTTTAGTGCCGCAATGCCTTTCATCAACAAAAGTATCACCAGGAAAAATATTCCTTTTATTGCCAGTGGGATCGAGTGATAAAAATAAAGAGGAAAGAAAATTATGGTTGCAAGCCATAAATAGAAATGATTTATCCGAGAAAACCAGAGGATTTGTTTGTGAAGACCATTTCGAAGTGAGTATACGTTCAAGTATGTCCTAGTGAAACGCATTATATATCAATGATTATGTTCCTCATGTTATTAGGAGAATAGTATAAGATGTGATTTCGTTTTCAGCGTGAAGAAGATATGGAAAACTATATGAGATATAAATTGATAGGTGGTAATATATATTTGAAACAACATGCAAAAAGAAGTCCTGTTTGATCATTCTTATTGTAGATAGTAGCTTATTATTCAGTTATTATTATTCAGAATATTGAGATCATGATAGATTATAGAAACTACAAGCTCAGATAATCTTAACCTCACTTTCTCTTCTTATATTATTTTCAATCTTTTGGACATGAATGTTTGACATGACAAATAAAAACAGCCACATCCAGTCGGAAATCATCGCTGCAATTCGGCTGTTGGTCGGAAAGTTGCAAATATCATGATTTTCAATCAGAAATCATTAAATATTCGGTGCTTAATAATGTTTTTGGGATGTATAATTCGACATCCATACATATGAGTAATGGAACAAAAATATATTCCAATGTAAAATTTTCACACGCGTATACCCTATTAGTGGCCCATCCACAGAAGTGGGCCCATCTTTTGAATTTCGGCAGCTGTCTTTTAAGTTGCGTTTACATTCACTGTTTTCTTGTAAGTATAACTACGTAAGTTCTTCTTCTTCTTTTTTATTCGAATCTATTTCTGACTCACAACTTCAAACGTAACGTGCCATACTTGTCCTTGACATTACGTTTCACACTACACTGTTGCTATTGGACGTTGCTATGTGAATGCATTGAATGCAAGAAACATAGTAGTACGGTGTAATTAGACCTAAACCTCAACATCCAAAGTAAAAGTTTTCCTCCAACACCAAATTGCTCTACATAGTCCCCTTATTCTATGGTAAAAAGTTACACCATTTTGAGCGTCGGGTTTGGGGGTGAGGGGGGGAGGAATTTGAAAAATCACTAGTTTTTTTAGTTTTTCGTAGATATTTCAAAAACTAAGCGGTTTATCCTGAACATTGTCATATACAAAAATGTCCTACGTTAAATTTTAAATAAGAATGGTCCTTTTCATAATCACTCTAAATTGTACGGTTCAAGAGTTACAGACGGTGTAAATGTTAACTTTTTCGTAATTTTGATAATTTTTAAAAAAAATAATCTTCGTGAAAGAATGTTGCTATTTCAGTGGCCAGTGGTATGTTACTGATAAGCCCTTGAGGGAACGACAACCTACCCACCTTATCAAGGGGCACTCTTTTTTAAGGGAAAAGAGGCTTCCACAGGCCTAGGCCATATAAACCTGTGGTACGGAGAAACCCACCCTGAACTTTCTACGAACATTGCAACATAAATTCATTTCTTAAGCATAAATATCTCTCAAATTTGGAATGTTCAATGTCTTTATTAACTTCACTCATCCTCCAGCACATTATCCTCCTCCTCTAGCTCGTCGCCTAAGATGTTATTATTGTCCATGTTATCACATGCTTGGCCTGAGCAATTGCTGCATATGCTAGTGCAGTTTAGACCACTCCTTCTGCATTCACAATTACGAACGCATTCATCTTTGCAAGAACACATTATGAGGGACAGTAATTCCTGGGGGGCTGCAGGACGTGCTGTTGTAATTGGTGTCAGGTGGTTGCCAATCTTCTCCCAACCCCACTCGAGTGGATCCTTATCTTCATTCAGCCACTGTTGTACCTGGTGGTAGGTCCTAAATGAATGCTGTCTGGACGCTCCTGAAGTGGGGGGTAGTGCATCCAACTTCAGTAATGCATGTATAGGCTGCTTTGCAATCGCTTTCAAGTAGGACTGGTAGCGGAGACAATCTAGATCTTCAGTGTTCTTGGCTCCAAACATTGCAAGTAGGAAGTAATTTCCTGCATCAGCCACTGCACTGGGGTCGGCTTTGGGGTTGTTGAAGACCAGAAGTTTCTCACGAAGAACGTTGTTGGCAACTTTCCTATAAGGTGCAATTTTCCCCTTCTTATAGACAGCAGACACAGTGTCACATCCTGTGAAGGCGTATGTAACCAGAAGTACATCTTTCATATCCCCAATGCCCCAAATAATGTACACTTTTTCCTGGTGATTTCCTTTTTTAGGTACGGCCATTTTCAGTTTATTCCCTGAAGATGCGTGGACAGTCAACAGTACTAATAAGTCCGTGTCATCACCAATAACACACGTTTGAACATCTTTCTTCGCTTCATCAATAGCTGTTAAGACTACTAATAGGTCAGCATCACCCGATGCTTGAAGAACTGTACAACCACATTGTTGCAAGTGCGATGAAAGGAGGGTTATTAGACCCATCTTGTTTTTAGCACTAGCTAAAAATTCATTTTGATTTATGTTGACATGGATTGAGTCTTCTACTTTGACCACAATGTTGGAACGTGATCTTCGTAGGTGTTCTTGATCCTTTGTGTTACTTCGTTCGTAACCATCAAAGACAACAGTCGCTTTTCCATAATGAGTACATACGTAAATTACTTCCTACTTGCAATGTTTGGAGCCAAGAACACTGAAGATCTAGATTGTCTCCGCTACCAGTCCTACTTGAAAGCGATTGCAAAGCAGCCTATATACATGCATTACTGAAGTTGGATGCACTACCCCCCACTTCAGGAGCGCCCAGACAGCATTCATTTAGGACCTACCACCAGGTACAACAGTGGCTGAATGAAGATATGGATCCACTCGAGTGGGGTTGGAAGAAGATTGGCGACTACCTGACACCAATTACAACAGCATGTCCTGCAGCCCCCCAGGAATTACTGTCCCTTATAATGTGTACTTGCAAAGATGAATGCGTTCGTAATTGTGAATGCAGAAGGAGTGGTCTAGACTGCACTAGCATATGCAGCAATTGCTCAGGCCAAGCATGTGATAACATGGACAATAATAACATCTTAGACGACGAGCTAGAGGAGGAGGATAATGTGCTGGAGGATGAGTGAAGTTAATAAAGACATTGAACATTCCAAATTTGAGAGATATTTATGCTTAAGAAGTGAATTTATGTTGCAATGTTCGTAGAAAGTTCAGGGTGGGTTTCTCCGTACCACAGGTTTATATGGCCTAGGCCTGTGGAAGCCTCTTTTCCCTTAAAAAAGAGTGCCCCTTGATAAGGTGGTAAGGTTGTCGTTCCCTCAAGGGCTTATCAGTAACATACCACCGGCCACTGAAATAGCAACATTCTTTTACGAAGATTATTTTTTAAAAAAATTATCAAAATTACGAAAAAGTTAACATTTACACCGTCTGTAACTCTTGAACCGTACAATTTAGTGATTATGAAGAGGAACATTCTTATTTAAAATTCAACGTAGGACATTTTTGTATATAACAATGTTCAGGATAAACCGCTTAGTTTTTGAAATATTTACGAAAAACTAAAAAAACTAGTGATTTTTCAAATTCCTCCCCCCCTCACCCCCAAACCCGACGCTCAAAATGGTGTAACTTTTTACCATAGAATAAGGGGACTATGTAGAGCAATTTGGTGTTGGAGGAAAACTTTTACTTTGGATGTCAAGGTTAGGCCTTTTTTAGGTTAATAACACCGTACTATAGCCATTGTTGCCAAAGTGCCCTGGTTTCAAGTTATCCTTTTCCCAGATTTTCCCAAAGGCAAAGGTTGGCACTGCAGCCTACATTTAACCTAACCTAACAAAACCTGCTACATAATTTTTTGGTTTTGTAGTTTTGTGCTGTGACTGAAGTAAGCACAGTTTCCTTAAATTTATTTTCGTTCGTGGCGTAATCCCAAAAACCTGAAAATGTCTTTATAGCACGAAATAAAACCACACGTGAGTCAATTAGGTACAAAGTATTGTTGACGAATGGTGCAATTATTTTGTGAAATTACATAATCTAATCAAAGTTTCTTTCAGTTTTCTAATTGTAATTTTGTATGTCGACAGTGAAAGTACTGCAAGATGCCGAAGTTATCCTACTTGAGTCGAAAAAATCTGAGGAGCTGACGACAACAACAACAATGAAGAATCCTACAACAACAAAGAAAACTAGCCTCTCTGTTTTCAGTCACTTCAAATATGAACATCTTTTAGCTGGTATATCTGGAGGAGCTATATCTACATTAATTTTGCATCCCTTAGACTTGATGAAAATTAGATTTGCAGGTAAGAACAAAGTAAATATTATCTAGAGTAATATTGAATGAACATATGTCTTGGTTTTTGTGCATATTGTGTTGGATTTCTTCAAAAATCATTCTTGGAATTATCTGTTATATAGTCAGCTAGCTTGCTTGCTTTTCTGAGAGGAATTTGTAGGACACTCTCATTTGGCATTATGTTTTCATTTCATAAACGGTTAGCATAATGGATAATCTTACCTAAGGGATGTGATGACTAATTGATTCACAACACCAATGATGAGAAAATCATAGATCAGTGAAAATGTTCTGCTTTGACTGAATAACCTGTTCATTTATGTTTGAAATGAGATACCTAGAGCACATTTCTACCATTATCATTGATTTTTGTTGTGTTGTCTGAATCAAGGCCTGAATATTATTTTTTTTCAAACCTCCATTGAGTGCAAATTTCCATGAAGGAATTATTTGAATAGGTTATTTTTGTTGTTTTGATAGTAGTTGAATTGGGCAGTAGCACCTTCAGATTTATATCATATAGGTATTCACAATTTGAATACAAATTGAACTAATGTCTAACAGCAACCTATATATTATTGAGAAACTACCACTAATACTACTAAATATTCTCCAAAACTGCATGCATTTTTGGGATTACCCATTGATACTAAAAAAAAATCATGAAGTATTGAGTGAGATCTAAACTTTTCAAATATTTTCACCTTGATTTTCGCTATCACTAACCATGCCATCTTCAAACTATTATCATCTATTATTGAATGTCTCTAGCAAGATCACCATTGTATGCATCCCAACATGCATTAATGTTGCTACACAGTGACTTACCTAAATTATTTGGATTATTCAGTGACTTTCATTGAATTCCCCAAATCACTTAATGACTTCCTGAGTTCCTAGGGGATATTTGGGACTATTCCAGGAGTCAATGGAGATAATGGTTATCCAATGACTTTTATGGTCTATGACTTCCCATGACCTGGCAGCCTTCCTATGATTTGTTATTATGAACTACCCAATGAATTTCTATGAATATTGGGGAATATGCAATGACTTGCTGTGAGTTAATGGAATAATCCAAGGACTTTTTATGAATTTCTTGGACTACCAGATGACTTCCCATAAATTTTTAGAACTAATAATGGATTCCTGAGAACTACCAAATTACTTCTCAAGAGTTCCTTGGATTATGTTTTGACTCAGTTGATTTCTGGAAGTACCCAATAGATTTCCATGGAAAAGTGAAGTGAAAACTCAATGAATTTTTTGAATTCCTGGGACTACCATGAATTTCCATGAATTTCTTGAACTATCTATGCATTCCTGGGGCCATTTAATGACTGCATACCTTCATCATTGGCCAACTTTGTTGGACGATGCCTTTATGGTACTACCAACGGACGGATAGAACAAATTTTAAACAAATTTAAACCCAATTACTTTCCATGAGTTCCTAGGAATATCTTATGACTCGGAGTGGGTTTCTAGGACTACCCAATGACTTTGCATGAATATTTGGTAATAAAAATTCAATAAATCCCATGAATCCTTGGAACTATCATACATTTCTAGAATTCTCAATTAATTCCTAAGCATCCCATTGTCTCTGTGAAATCATGACACTTTCTAATGATTTTCATCGAATACCTAGGACTAAATAATGACTAAATGAAATTCTATTACTACCTAATTCGGTGGTATCCAAGGACATAATGCATAAAAAATGTTGATATTAAAACCTATATGAGAGTGGACATATCCTCACATCCCTATTTTACTATTTTTCTATAAAATCTTCACAATCTATAGGATTCCCACAAAATTCCATTTTTTTTTTGATGAATGATAAATTGATATTCATCATACAGGACATGGAAAGAAATTCTGAATTGAGAAAACCTAATCACGAATCTGCGATTGAGGTCCAATTTTATTGCTATTTTAGTGTGTGATGGTAGAACCAGCATACCTCAGTACAGTAGCTTGACAAGCGCATTTCATACAATATTCAGGCAAGAAGGTATCAGAGGACTGTACAGGGGCGTAGCGCCCAATGTTTGGGGATCTGGAAGCGCCTGGGGATTTTATTTTTTATTGTAAGTATAATCTATTTGATATGAGATATTTAACAACATCTATTGATGCTTTGGCAAATTTCAATTTGTCCATATCCCAACAGGGTGTCTTTTGGAAATATTGTAATTTATCCCCGTTATATGAATATGCCAGTGGACTAATTTTTTTTTATTCCTCAAATAGAATCATCACTCCAATACCTTAGCACAGTTGCCATGTGTTGAAATACGGTTCGGAACTTCAGAAATATTAGTTTATTCAGACATTAACAAATTCTCAAATATGTATTGGTAATATTCCTATTTAGCAATTCAAAATCCATTGTCTCAAAATTTTCCCTTATTATTTGTGGCTTATTGCTTATAATACATTTGTGTAAATAGTAATTTTATCAATTCACACTAGATGATATTTGAAGCGGTGAACGTGATAACACCGTGCGCACGACTAGTGGGCGTGGTCTTGTCCCTTCCCAGCATTCAGCACAATGTTGCCAAGTCTCCAACATTCACATGATATTGGTGAATTGACAACCTTGCTTCGTGAATGGGAATGGAAGATTATCTGACCAATAACAAAACAGCATAAAAGCTATTGTCACCATTTATTCGACGTATCGCCAAATAGTGGCCATTACGGTACGTTTGAGATGAGCTCCGAAATTTTACAATTTAGAACAACGCATACATTCATTATTTACATAAAAAAAGTGTGAGAAGTGTTGCAAAAATTAAATTAGGTCCCTAACGACACAGTGTAGTAATTGAATGACAATAGCTCATCATAAGTCCACTGGCCCATTGCCATCTTTATTATTTATGTGCTTAATTATAAAATCACAATTTTGTGTTTTTCTAAAATGTCGTTTCTCGAAAGTTTCTGATTCACTGAGTGCAAGTATTTATGTCACTGAGTGCAAGTTTGTTCAAAGCTTCTTCATAAAGGAATGTGAATTTATTTATGTCGCACATTCTTATATATTTGACATAAGTGACCATGAGTGACCATGAGTGATATGTTGTATCATTAAATAAATAAATTTTCAAAACTCACTTCTTGAAAATTGTTTATTCAATTCCCCAAAAATACAACGTGTTGATCGATTTGAAGTTGCGATCCGAGGGAGAGAAATTGCTCGCTTGATCTTTTTCCGGAAAACCTTCTATTCTATTACCAACTCATAACCAGTAAATAAACTAAGAGTAAACTGAACATGGATATGGCTAATGTGACGACCTGACGTGAATACACTACAGAGAGAATGTGATAAAAGTGATCAAAGGAATAGGCAATTCTCGCAGCCATTCATCCTACAAACAGTGTATTTTTTATCATTTGGGATCCTGAGGTTCATACTTCAATTCTGAAACCCGTCTGTCCCAGTGTCCCCGGATGAGGACGCCAGTTTTTCTTTGATATCCAAGGAAAGTCTGCAAACATTCTGGTATTCATACGTTTTCAACATTGAAATATAGTTACAATCTATAATACTAACCTTTCCAGCCGCACCTACAACTTAATAAAGAACTGGTTCCAGCTAGGCGGCAGCTAGTTCCCACTGGGGACAAGCTTGCACATGCATATTTACAGAATGTTTTCAGTAATGTTGTTATTAGATAGAAAATGTTTATTTTCCAACTGAAACAAATATACTGTGATAGGTACATCGAGTTACAAGTATCACGAGGAAGAAATAAAGGATAGCTAAATGTAATGAAAAATTATCAAGACCTTAAAAATAAGCTACCAGGTGTATTTGGCTGGTGATTTGAGAATAGATGATAAAATATTATTAACAATATTATGATCCTTTCAACCCATGATATAATATTGAAAAAATCAAATGAATATACCAGTCTTTCAATCCCGCATTCATTTATCTAAATACCTATTCGTCCTACAAACAGTGACTTTTCAATTATTCGGTTCATAATTTTTAAACCGATTTGTCCTCGAATGAGGACGGCAGTTTTTCTTTGATATCTAAAGAAAGGGAAGTATTTCATTCTGTTAAGTGAAGTTCTACATGTAATCAATGTGTTTCACAATACCTTCAATACTGGAATATTGTAGTTTTGCTTTGCAAATATCCAGTAGGCAGTCTCATCACGATTTCCGATGCTTTTCGGGGTGTTGAATCGGAGTCTGGAATTATCTAACGAAATTTCCTGGTGCGTTTTGAACTATTCGCAAAAAATAGTGATTCGCACTCTCTGAAGATTCGCTTATAATTCCAAAGAGTACGTGTGGTAGCGAAAAATTAGTGTCACAGCCATTCATCCATATAACTATTCATCCTACAAACTGACTTTTCAATAAATGGGGATGCTGATGTTCATATTTCAGTTTTTGAACCGTTCTATCCCAGTGTCCTCGAACGAAGACGGCAGTTTTTTTTATTTCTAAAGAAAGTCAACGTTTCCCACATCAAAATACAGCTATAATATATAACACCAACCTTTACAGCTACAACTTGATAAAGAACTGGATCCAGCAGGGCGACAGCCAGTACCCTCTGGGTCCCAGTCTGCACATGTTGGCTGCTGCAGAAGCCATTTTTCTTACCCTCGTCGTCACCAACCCCATCTGGGTGGTGAAGACCTGGCTGTGCCTGCAGTGCAGCAACGAAATATCAATTCATACTACGATATCATTCTTCCAACCAATGAAGTATAAATATAGTATCAATAGGATCAGTCATTCATCCATGTATCTATTCATCCTACAAACGGAACTTTTATTATTCGGAATCTTGACGTTCATATTCCAATTTTTAACTGTTCTAGTGTCCTCAAATGAGGACGGCTGTTCTCTTCTTCTTCGATATTTGAAGAAAGTCAGCAAACATTCTGGTATTTATATGTTATTGTTATTCACATCAGAATATAGTTATAATGGAAAAATTAAGTGAACATTGTACCGCTTGTATTTCATTGTGTTAACTCACGTAGTCAATCGCTTTCACAATTCCTTTAACACAGGCAAATTGAAGTTTTACCTTGCAAAAATGCAGTAGTCGGTGCTGAATCGGAATCTGGAATTATCTAACTATCTAAATTTCCTGGTGAACTATTCCCCATAAAAGAGAAATTTTCGCACTTTTTCTGATGTCTCGCCTATAATTCCAAAAAGTACGTGTGGTAGCAAAAAAATACAAAACTATTCATCCTACAAAATGACTTTTCAATGAATGGGGATGCTGAGGTTGATATTTCAATTTTTAAACCGGTATGTCCCAGTGTCCTCGAATGAGGACGGCAGTTTTTCTTTGATATCTAACGAAAGTCGACGTTTCCCACATCGTAATATACACACTTTACAGCTACAACTCGATAAAGAACTGGATCCAGCAGGGCGATAGCCAGTACCCTCTGGGCCCCAGTCTGCACATGCTGGCTGCTGCAGAAGCCGGTCTGCTCACCCTCGTCGTCACCAACCCCATCTGGGTGGTGAAGACCCGGCTGTGCCTGCAGTACGGCAACGAGGACGCTTATTTGTCGAAGGGCGGGCAGGTTTACCGTGGGATGTCCGACGCGCTGGTGAAGATTTACAGGAAGGAGGGGGTGCGCGGGCTCTACAGGGTGAGTGAATTTACACTCGCTTACACTCACTGGCAAAAAAAAACGGCCAGAAAAAAAATTTGCCAAATTGATCGCCCTGTAATGGGCATTCCCAGTATCGTAAATTGTGACCCATTATTGCTATAATGTCATGAAGGGAAGTCAAAACGTTATCCCCACCACATATTATCGAAAATAAGGAACAACAAACTAATTATTTGATATTGAAGATGCAATTTTTATACCTGTGAATTCAAACGCTACTAAACTGTGAAGTCAGTGTCTTCTTGCTATTTGATTTGTTGAAGATGAGATGGCTCGGAAATAGACCGCTGTTGCCAGGTCTCTATAAAATTCTTGAATTGTCCTATGTGCAAGATGGTGCAAGGAATGTCATGATTCAAAAGTACTATGTAGTAGGTGATTAGTTCATTGGTAATTAAATGCTGATCACATTCTATTTACTCTGAACTTCGAATTATTCCATTATTTCCAAGATCAGCTAGGCTAAAATGTGAGGCAGGCATCTAACAGTAAGGCGCTTTTTATATACTTAGTTTGGTTTTAGTTATGATGTTGTAATTACGTTTACTAATTATTATAATCGACAAACTGAACAGTGTTACTATATCTCAGTTACTCATTTCCGGAATATTTAATCGCTAATATGGCAACTATGTTGACAAGAAAAAGTAACTGGCGCTGACACAATGTTGCCAAGTTGAAATATCTTATTCCTTACTTAACTTCACTGGTCTTATTTCTCAATAATATTATTATTGACAAGAAGTCATTGATGGTTGTACTAAAATGGATAGAAATCGAACCAAGTAAGCAATTTAGTATTGATTGATTCAGAATTTGTTTCTCCCCCTATAGTGAGCCTCTAAAGTTCATCCCAAAGATGCTCTATAGGTTCTGAATTATTATTATCCTGTTATCGATAATTCAAATAATTCTATACTTTCTTAAAACACTAGTATCTTCTCCTAAAAATAAGATATTAATGTGAATCAAGAACTGCGTGTTAAGAAGGGACGAAAAGGGATCATACTCCGATCCAAAACATGATTAAGCAGAATGTTGGATAATGGTTCTGAATTTATATTGTTGATAAAAAATCAAGAATACCATACTTTCTTGTAGCAATTGGATCTTCTCTTAGAAAGAAGATATTGATGTGAATGAAAAACCATTGTGATAAGAAGCAATCACATTTCATTCCAAAACATGAAGAAGCTAAGTTTAACCACTAGCCCAGAGCGTCAAGAAGTTGAGGGCGAAAGATTACCTTCGGTTTTCCCTGTTTAATGATCAAGCCATCAGTTTTTTCAAGAATTAAAATTCAGGCTATCATACCCAAAAATAAATCTATGATTTGGTCGACATTACACCAGAATCGGTAATTTGGCTAATTTTTTTGCTGACCGGTTTTTTTGCCAGTGAGTTATCGGAGAAATGCAATTTTTTATGAGATATATGATTAAATTGAATCTGGCAAATATTGGAAATTCCTTATTATACAAATTACAATAACTATTGTGCAAATATATTGAATTATATCTGTCAAATATTGAAAATCCCTAATTAAAAAAATCAATAACTTTTGTTTAAATATCTAACAGAAAACAGTTACTTTCCTGGCCAATACCCTTGATTCTTTCCACTAATAAGATGAGCCATCCTTACGAGAGCAATGAAGCCAGAAATTCTCTTCAGTAGGAAGTGATATCTATTAGAGACAAGGTGAACTACTTTTTCTTGAGTAGCGACAGATCGCTAAAGCAGAATATGTTCTGTCACATCAGGACCGGATTAAAATAATTTTATTATTCAAAAGCCAAGTTGAAAGCCTTCGAAGAATCATAGTTCCCCTATGATTTTTGATCCACTAGACATCATTTCAAATTTTCACCTCCAGATCCGGAGGACCAGAAAACATGAAACTAACAAATTTTGATACATTCTTTCTATCATGAAAAAGGAATTGTTTGACATGCCTTGTCTTAGAAGAACAGTTTTGATGTGTCGATAGCATAATATAAACAATTGATTGTTTCTATTCAAATATCTAATTGTGAGATGGTCTGTGATAAATTGTTAATATTGAAATGATTTTAGGGTTTTGTGCCTGGTATGTTCGGAGTCACCCATGGGGCATTGCAATTCATGACGTATGAAGAGATGAAGGCGTTTTACAATCAGTATAGGAAGCTACCACATGACAACAAATTGGTGAGTAACTTCTTGCGGTAGTCTACAGAGTTGTGACCTTTTGCCACTGCAACATACGGTAGTGAGTACATTACTAGCCTACAAAACACAACCGACAATCTCTGAGAGGGAGCTGATGGACGTTATGTTACCTAAAAAGGGTGTCAGCCAGCTCAAGAGAACCACATCATTCATTACTCATTGAAGTTCCCAATAGATACTAGTTGCTGACGTGCAATAGCTGGAAGTTCAGGCTAACTTCTGATGGACCTGAAGTCCCATCGATGTTCCCATTTTGTACCATGTGGATTGAAGAATTGCCGAAAACTCAACTTATTCAAATGCCACCTTATTTTTTTGACACCAAATTTAGGATTTGAGGATGAGTTCCTTGAGCATTCCCTATACCTAACTCCCCAGGCAGCAAAGTGACGTCCAATTGACGTCATCTTTTAGTCATAAAATGGCGTCTGAGAGACCCTATAATGACGTCAAAATGTCAGCCACAAGCCTTCATATTTATACGTCAAAATGACGTCCCAGAATGACCATAAACAATCCACAAACCTTTGATAAAATTAATTTGTAACTATGCCTTGTGGTGACTTGATCGATGGTCCCCCGAGGCAGTCCTGTTCAATCCTGGTGCTATCTTCAGTAAGCATCTCTAAATGACAATATGGTTAGCTACTCATGATTTATGCAAAATTATGTAGCAAGTGTCAGCGAGATATGAGCGGAATGATAGTAGTTTGATAGCAGTGTAACAAAATGTATTGAATTGAGCTTCAAGTTCATAAAACGTCATGACATATGACGTCATTTCAGAAGGGATAATATGTTCCTTCCTCCCTGAAAAAAGTACTGTGGAGGCGTTAACTGTTGAGGCTGATAGTGATTCGCATGGACGTATAAAAAAGAAGGACACAGCAACTCTATACTTTCAGCATATAATGTTTTGAAGTCATAGAGATGTAGGCAAGCGGGTTGAGGGGAAGGAAAACGGTAACGATAGACTGTGCTATTTCCTCAAACGACAGCGGCGTGCGAAAATGAATTATAGTGATAGTAAATTTTGGAATCCAAAATGCAAAAACCGACTAAAATTTGAATACCAATCACAATATGACCGTTTATCAATCCGGGTCGCTATGGGTTATACCTCGGGTTATACCAAGTGATGAACATAACAAATACAGTTTTGTGTTTTCACATATTGAATAATGGATTTTATATAACTATGTGATTATGGTAATAGATTATTTAAATAATGAAATTTCGGTACTATTTAAGGAATCATTAAAAGTTCTGTATCTTTTTCCATATGATACACCAACAAACCAACTATAAAGAGTGTCCCGAAATTGCTGGGACACAGAACTACCACGTGTAATGAGGTCAAAATAAATTTATATACACTATGTTATCTATTATTTTCACTTCTCCATTAACCACTTTTTTGACCCCCTGAAGAACGACTTTTTCTCTGATTAATTGATGATCACTCAATCCGATCAGTTTGGGAATCTATTTGATAACGATACAGATGCAAAATACAATCAACTATATCCTCATTCATAGCTAACAGTTTATGAAAAGGATAAGGATTATTACTAGACAATATGACTGATTATCATTTCATGTTTATTTTTGAAACTATAATATATACAGTATATACCTACTTCTATATGACATGTAATGCAAATAACACAGAAATAAAAAAATAAGTAATAAAAAATATATAATTATAGGAGCTAGATAACTACAATTTCTATCACATCACAAATGTATAATAATAATGACAGACACCTGTCAAACCGTAGCGCTAATGAGTCGTCGTCGAAAAAACTTTGATATCCACAAAAAAGTGCATCCTTTTTTGAATATTGTTTTGATATGCCTATAACTGGATGGCAGTAGATTTTCTATCGTTTCCACAATTTTTTCTGATTCGACCGTCCTTATTATACCCGAGGTTATCCTAATTCAAATTATACGCGTTAATGAACGTTTATAACGTTTTATTTTCCAAAATATTCCATGATTCTGATGGAAGTTAAGAAATATTAATAATAATAATATAAACTCATTCAAAAACGTTCACAAAATATACATTGGAACATACAGATAGGTATTTTGAATAAACTGGAGAAAACGTTACGAAATGGACGTTGTAGTAAGGATAAGAAACAAATGTACATAGGTCAATATCAAACTATCATAAGGGAAAAATTGTCTCATTAGGAAATGAGACATCATGTATATAATTCATATATAGTGTACTGAGCATTTAATTCAATTCGCATAATTATTTATATTTATATATATACTTATTCACAATTATTATTTATATGTTTCTAATTTTATTATTGAATGTTAATTTTGAGAACCTCATCGTAACATTGCCGTATATTCTTGAATTTCTACGTATATTGGAGCAGTCTGAAATGATATGAAATAATGATGATATGATATCCCACTGAAATTATGAAATTTCAATTTTTTACACATGCCAGACCCTCGTAAACATTGCAAATAAGGCATGTATCTTTCATCTCCTTTCATAAATGGTAATTCCTATAAATTCTGAGAGCGGCGCCACTCTCTGGACATAAATTGTTGCCATGCAAGGGTTTCGTAATCCATAACTTTTTATGTTCATTTTTCATTTTGAGGGAATGAAAAAATCAGTATATATTTGTGAAGATCTAATCTATGTTCCTGTCGTCTCACTTTTTCGAAATTTTATTCAGTTTTTTCTTTAAAACAATCGCAAAATAACGTGTTTTTTGATGATTTTCAAATTTTTTTCCTCAAGAACCGAATCAAATTTCGAGAAAGTAAGACGGCAGACACATTTATAAGATCTTCATGCATGAATATGTACAATTTTTTTCATCCACTCAAAATGGAAAATGACCGTGAAAAGTTAGGGACTACGAAACCCTTGCATTATTGCTTTATATCATAGTACAATTTCCTCTTAACAGAGCATTGAAAAGGAATGTTCTCAGATAAATTATGTACGTAAAAAAATGGATATGAACATATATGAAGAAATACATCGAAACTTCGCATTCTCTATTTGATGAAAATATCAATTGTTACGCCTATGAAACTCTAATTCGAACATGTAAACAAATGGTACTTACGAATGGAAGGTGAAATTTGGGTATTAAAACTTTGTTTTTTCGCAAATCCAGCAGTGTAACACCATTATTAGTCTCTATCTAGCAACTTTTCACAAAAAAAAATAAGAAAATTCACTCAAAAACAACGAAAACAATAAACTTCCCCAAACAAATAGACATAAACGAACAACGCCGAACTCGTCGAAAGCACGAAACATCACGAAACGAGCCTGTTTTGCAGCGGCGTTGTCGGTTGTGTATAATCTCGGTAACCTTTACAGAATAACTTTGAAATAATGTATAACGACAGTTTCATAATATTTGATTGTGACTATCTATGGACATATGATTTATTCCTTGAGATCTATGAATTGGATCATAATTAACATCTTATTGAATAGATGATTACAAAAGAGGTAAGTACAAATACTTGAGAGGATTAGACTGAGGTTAGGAATTATTAGCGACAGGACGTGACAACCTCCAATTCAACATCAGGTGGTATACTGTGACCGTATTCTCTGACTTCACATTACGATGTAAATAAATGGGTCCTTCTTTGTTTATACGTCCATGGTGATTCGCTATTTGACTTGACTCCGCGCCAGTAATAAGGATATTGCTATTATTCTCTATAATGTGAAAACATCTGTTATTCGAATTTATCGCCAATATCAGTGATTTGAAATTACCGCCATTGCTCAAATCGCTCTGATTGGTCTTTAGGAATCGCCTATGCATATGTTTGGGCAAAAGGGATTCATGCTAGTCATTTTACCTTTCAGGATTCAAGGACGGTAAGAGTACAATTTGACTTGAGCGCCAGTTATGCATTGAATTGTTTGGTTTTAGAGTAAATCATTTCTATAATAATTTGAAATGAAAAAAATCAATTTATCTAATAGTCATTTCAAAACCTAATTATAATTGACTAGGCAATTCGTTATGATTTTTATATTTCAGCATTTTAACGTTCGAAACGCTTCCCTGAAAACCTTACCAATATGTCCCTCTGGTCGTTTTACTTAGAGTGACTTTATAAATAGAGTGACGACAATAATAGTGGTAGACTTTTTGTTTGGTAAGATCTTCAATATGGAGGTGCATCCACCTGCCTTGTTTTCGCCATTCAGCTCTACGCATTCAATTTCACTTTGTCAATGATCTGTCTGTTTTTTGCTCTTTGGACACAAAACATCCAACAATAAGACATAAAACTCAATACCTACGTCAGTACCTTGGATATTAACTATTAGAATCCGTCTCTTGGGACTCGTAAGTCTAACATTATTAAGATGATGAAATTAAAATATCAAATATCTAAACCTAACATCAGGTGACTACTTCGAGGGCGCAAATTCATTACTGCATGGGAGATACCTTGCAGATTTTCAGCTATTCAGTGATCCGGCCACGAATAGCATTCCGGAACCTGCAGCCATTTGGAGGTATATTGACGTCACTCTATTTAATCTACTCACTTTAGTTTCACCCATATGTCTACTATTTCTATATATGGCGCATCGCCTATACGATATGTCAACAAAAATGGGACCAAAATGAGAGGTACTTTTGAATCTATAAGGACGGAAAGTGAAGGCTGGAAACTGCTGAAGTGAGGATCAAGTTTCAAGTTAGGTTAGGTTCGTAAATAATTATTCGAATATAATATTATATTAAAAATCATCAATTGTTGATAATACCACAGTATAAAACCATCAAATTCGATTTATTCCTTTATCATGTGGTATTGAATATTGAATATAGGTCAGGGTTAACCTAGGTATATGCATTCTCTTTCAATGCGGTGAAAGTGTTCTACTGAAATCTGTTTAGCGTGATAGGACTACACTATACTACATGTCATTTACTGATTCAAACTTGGTTTACTTTAAGGAAATTCCCATTATATTATGCTTGTTGCTGGATGATTGATAACTCCATTGATAATGTATGAGAAAAATTATGAGGCTAATGATTGGAGCCAGGGTTCTTTGGAAGTTTAAAATATAATGTAAAAAGTGTGTACCTTTGTGCAGGTCAATACATAAACAAGAAAATTTTAACATTCAAACTCACCTATGAAAAAAGGATTCCTGTCTATTCTTCTCTCCGCAAATACTGCATTTCGTTCCACTAGACATGGTTAAAAAAGTTCAGCCCATGAAAAATAAACGAAAACACAAACACTAAGGAATTGTACAACTAAAAACGGAAATATTCGAATTTCAATCACAATCAATCACATACGCGCCAAAACCAATTCAAAAACTTGAAATTTGTAGCCATATTGGTTTAACAAGTTTCGTATTATTTTTCCTCTACGTCGGCATCAACGCCTGTTGGTCGATTTCGTTACTTGTAGATACAATAGTTGGTCCCGCTTTGAGGACAGCAATGCTTCATATATAGAGTAGTAGATATATGGTTTTACCCTTCCAGTGACGATATGACTTCACTGAAAGTGCTTTATTCTATTGCAGACCACAGGCGAGTACATCGGTTTCGCGGCCATCAGCAAACTCATAGCCGCAGCCGCCACATACCCCTACCAGGTGATAAGGGCCAGGCTGCAGGATCAGCACCATAGCTACGCGGGCTCGTGGGACTGCGTTCGGAAGACGTGGAAGCATGAACGGATGACGGGGTTCTACAAGGGCCTGGCGCCCTACCTGCTCCACGTCACGCCCAATATATGTCTAGTCATGTTGATATATGAGAAGTTCAGTAATAATAGCTAAGTTAGCGGTGAAGGCGAGAACACAACTGAGAAAAATAACATGACAAAGAACTGTTTATATTTTTGCATTTCCAATGATTTTCCTGAAGTAAATAGTCGATACTGACGTCACAAGTCCTATAATGCGTTCGTTTTTATTGGTAGTCGAAAGTAATAAATTCGTGGAATTGCGTTCCGAAGACGTGGAAGCACAAGCGGATTACAGTGTTCTAAAAGGGGCAGCATAGGAAGATATATTTTTTCTCTATCAACGAATGTTCACAACAGTTAAAGGAATATCAACTTCATATATCCTTAAAATATAACAAATAGCTGGCAACACAGGACTTATGACGTCAGTGCCGCCGAACGCTAGATTTGAAGTTTTCAAATGGTGTTTTTTGAAACTATGCACTCAATTTTATTCGCATTTGTGTTCTTGCCTATTACTTAATGATTAATTAAATTTTTTGTTTGTTGCGGATTTGGGTGTTGTGATAATGGTTTCGTTAAGGAGACATTGATTTTGTCGCCTCATTTTGACAGGGAGAGTCCTATTTTGGGATAAGATGGACGGAGGATGAATTTTTATGACAATCCCAATGTTGAAAGCTGCTTCATTAATTTTTGCCTGTCAAAAGTCCTTTGTTTCTATGTTAACATTCCCAAAGCACTCTTCTTCCTAGATTCAATGGTGTCAATATATTTTTCTAAAACGAACACATCAGTAGTTATTGATAATTTTATATCAAATAGGACTGACTCCCTATATTTTTTTGTATACATTGATAGAGCTTGTCATCACTGATCCAAAAATATAGAGAGTTCTAGATTCTTAAATAGAAAATATTCCTGAAATACCACATTAACATTTAATTTTACTGAGAAGAATACCATTCATAGTCTTTTAGGGAACCCTGAAGAAAAATATGATACTTATGATGAATCTGGTATTCATGAGATGAATTGAAATGACTAACATAAAAACTATTGGTCAAACACAAGAATTGAAAAAACTGAAATTTCGAAAGTTCATCGAAGTGTTCTTTATATTAAGCATGACGAAAAAGTGCATCTTGTTGAAAATATTACCCTGTGGGTCCCTAAGTATACACTTTGGAAAGAAGTATATCAAAACTTCCTCATTTTGCTGAAAAGGATGGAAGAACTTTTAACAAATCATGTTAACATCGGTTTAGGTCCAAGTTTAGAGAGCAGCTTCTATTTTTTTTCTCGGAAATTAGGTGGTAAATGAAGAAACACAGAAGCAAAATAGGTTGTATTTTGGGTTGCTTCATTCAGAAATATATGAAAATCACGAAAAAACGATAGGGCGCTATTTTTTTTCAATGCAGAAATGTAAGCAACTTGTTGTGAGTACACCCTTGCAATACCTGGATTTTCTGCAATAGGTTCAAAAGGTACGTCAATGATATATTGATATAATTTCAAGAAACTCATCTTAGAGCAATTTGAAAAGGTGTCCAAAATTATTGATGAAGGTATTCATACATCATCATCCAAGTTATAATTTCAATTGCTGGAAAAGTGATATTGAAATATAATTGGGTCTTTATCACTATTCCCCATAAGAAAACTATTCACCTCTCCATATTCATTTAAAAATTTCAGTGATTTTTCGCGCATATAACTAATTAAATCCATATTTCAAGTAGAATCGCTCATTGTTCTAAAATTGTTCTATCCGTCATTCGGTTGCCCCCTTACGAGCATCCCTCAGAAGTCTTCGAGAGTCTTGTGCGAGCAAGGAATGACGGAAGCCTTACCTTTTAACGTGTGATCCCAAACACTTTCTTGGGCCATCAGAAAAATTTCAGCAGTCGTTGGGAATCGAACCCACGACCGGCAAGCGAATGCGAATTAGAATACCGACACTCTGTCCGCACGGCTACCTGGCCTCGCTCATTACTTCTCAACATTGAAGCCATAAAAATCAAAATAAGGTACTGAGTGACCTTGAGTTGATAGAACACAACCACAGGGTGTTCACCAGGCAATTCGACTTGCAATGACTCCAACTGGTTTATTCCAAATGCTACCCGGTATATTATTTTATTCGGCAAATTATGGTTGGTTGTGACTCCATTTATATGGAGGTTTTTTATTCAAACTATAAATCGTGGTGGGTCTAAAGACGCTACAACTTGAAAAAAAAAACAGTTCTAAATATCTTTGGAACCATCAAAATGTGTATCAGGAATAATAAAAAATCTCCCTCTCAGGGGAATCATATTTGAGGAGTTGAAAAAATTAACTGCGCCACTGTTGAAGAATGCCATTTTAGGATACCCTGTACATTGATGGATGAATCAGGCTGCAAAATCGATGCTCTTCCTTGGCAAAAACCCATATTTCACTTACGTTGTTGCTAAGAATTGTTTATTCTGGCTAGAAAAACCAGTGATTCTCGATAAATTTAATCGTATTTATTTATTTATTGATTCATAGGCAATACTTTCCACCAAACAAATGATATCTCAATAGAGCACTGTCAGTGGCGTCACAGGACGTAAAATTGACCGCCATTGAACAGCTGATGGGGGAAGCATAATCATTATCCATAAGGGTACCTACATGTAACTTTCTTGCACATTTCTCACTATAATACAATACCTGGAGCATTTATTTATTAACATGTTTGTTAGTTCATTCATTCTGGCCACTGTGAGGAAAGAGAATGAGTCCGATGAAGAGTTAAAATTGGTTTATTTGTCAATTTAAAATTACTGGATTCACTTGAGTTCAGCTATAATATACCTTGTAAAATACCTCAGTAGATACTCAGTTTGCAACAACATATACAGGGTCAGGAATAATGAAATCTAAATTTGCCCGATCAGCTGATAAAAACGACGAGTGCGCCATGTTGTGACGTCAGCTGACACTGCTCTATTGAAAACTTATAATTTATTCTTATCTGGGACAGGGCGTAAATCAGACAGTCTCCACCATAACTGTACAGAATATATACAAAAACAATTGAAAATCGAAGTTGTTTATAGTGAAATGAACTTTGTTTCTTAGATAATGTCAACTTAGTGGACTATACAGGATGATCCATATGCCTGTGACATACCGAACAAACGTCTTCTCTAATGGAATACCCAACATTCTATTTCGTCCTTGGATATAGCTCAGTAAGACGAGTTCAATGATATATCATATTGGTCCTGAGATCACCCGTTTTGGACTTATCCATGATCTTCTTCATTATGTAGTCTAATTCCAAAACATTATAAAAACGTTGTGGAAAATTCTACATTCGCGTTTTTCGTTATTGATCTCTATTACTATTCTTAAATAATAAAATTTTGAAATTACTACTACTTATTGAATATGATCATGGATAAGTTCGAAATGGGTGTTCTCATGTTATCATATATCATTGAACTCGCCTTTCTGCGCTCTTTCCAAGAATGAAATGAAATACAGGGTGTTCCATTCGAAAATTTCGAGAAAGTGATGCGTTTGCAAAATTACATCATTATTTTTGGCGAATTCAAAATTTCTAAATATCTATCCAGATAACATAGAATTTGGTAATTTATGAGGAAAACTGCGCAGCGAAAACTTGATTCTCAACGTTTTTATAGGGCTTTGAAATTTGGCTATTTATTGAAGAATATCATGGATAAGTCCGAAACGGGTGATCTCAGGCCCATGTCTTCATACATCATTGAACTCGTCTCTCTAAGTTCTATCCAAGGACGAATTGAAATTTACTGTATTCCATTTGAAAATTCGTATGTATGGGATGTCACAGGCATAGGGATCGTCCTGTATTGTTGACATCACCTAAAGAAGAAAATATGGTTTTCCACTGTTTTGTATATGTTCTAGTTTAACCTAACCTGACCTCACCTGACCCATGTTATGTGGGATACCCTGTACTTCAGTGTATCAATCAGAAGGACATATTTTAAAGACTGCTAAATTAAAAATAAATGTATCCACATTGTGGGATTTTGAAAAAATGTCTCAGTTTTACGCTACATTGAACTCGCGCATACCACGGCACGAAAATGTTGGTTGGTGAGTGAGCGCAATACGTATAACGTACAGGGTGTCCCCCTTTATCCTCGTAATTCTCAACATATTTTGGTTATTCTGGAATATTTTTTTTTATTCTTAGAATCTGTGCTTACTTTTTCTCCATATCAAGAAACTACAGGGTGGCTCAAGAAACTGTTTTTCTTCAAATGAAATGATCCATATTTCTTTTTTCATAATTCGATGGAGCATGTCAATCTGGATTAAAAACATATATATATTATTCATATATTATTATCGAATATAATATTTGAATCATTTCATTTGAAAAAACTTTTTTAGGCCACCCTATATTTTGTTGATATGAAGAAAAAGTGAGCACAAATTATAAAAAATCGTGAAAAATTATTCCAGGAACGGTTTTGAATGGTCAAAATATGTAGATGAAGGGGGACCCATTTAGGTGGGACACCCGTACTCGGCCAGTCTTGGATAATTTAAAAGATACCATACCATCGATGTTGATGATACAGCAAAACACTAGTAATAATTCTTATTATGCACAATTAACCAAACACAAAAAAAAGTAAAAATGGCTGACGAACGATCAATAATGAGATTACAGAGAAGCCTGCCCAGTAAAATCAACAAGGAGTAGGCAGACGTTCTAAGAAGTCTTTAAAACAGAGATTGAAGATATGCAGTGCTGACGTTGATTTATGTACTGCGCAGGTGCCTTAACCAATTTTAATGATCGCTTGTTGGTATCAAAATTTCTTCGCGCATCCTCTTGTATTGTCCTTTCATTTGTTGTTTTCATAGCGGTTTCCATTGTGTTACACTCAGTGTATATCTATCCTTCTTTTTCACGTGTAGCAGAAAGAGAAATGTATACACTGAGTGCTCACTGGTTTTACCAATGAAATCCGCTATTAGATCAGTAGTTGACATCGATTTACGCCATTTACGGCCTGTCCTTTTGAGAAAATCACGAAGTAACAGATGGCGTTGAGAATTTTATGTTCTCTGGAATAGAGGGGAACAAATATTTGACCCATATTTTCAGTTTGAATTTGTCGTTTCTGAATCCTTGTTATGAGTAATAAATCATCGCTTTAAGGTATTCGAACGGACGATATTTTGATTAATTTACAGATAGACACAAGGTTCTTTGAACATTATATGGATTCCCGTTCGTGCGCTCCAAGAGAAAATAAAAAAAGGGGAACAAAAGTGCAATGCATTTGAACTATATTTCCTCCAACCTGTCGAGCAGTACTAATTTCAACAGATATACGTGATAGATGATTAACTGTACCACTGTCTTCCTCGCAGATTATTTGCCTCCATCACAATTCACGTGCAGTGTTGCCGTCTCAATTTTTATTTCATAATCATCATTAGTCAATAACCTTTCAATTCCATATTTTTTAGATTTTTTCGGACGATTTTAAGGTGCTAAAATCATCAATATTGTCACGGTAATTTTCAAACGGATGGAAATTTACCGCAAAGAAAATCCGACATCACGATTTCGTAAGTATAGAGGCAGACCATAGCGTCATTGCCATATGTTTAAATACGAATGGGAATTTCCATTATCTCGTAATTTTCCCTCGTATAGGTTGTGTCTCATTGCATATGATGAATTTGTGTTAATAATAATTATATTAATTAACACTTGAAAAGATATGGTCCGGTAAACGTGACAGCACAGGATTGTGGGCGTTGTCTTGTCAGTTCTCAGCGTTTAGCACAGCATTGCCAAGTCGCTAGCCTAGCCAACATTCACATCATGATGTTTTGTTGATGGAGTATAAGAAATATTTTAACAGCTGGTTGCTCGAGAGTCACATTCACTTTAATATCATGGCTTCCCACTTTTAGGTCAAATGAAATAACTCGAATATAGTAACGAAATTGATACAATATTGTATTTTCATATAACAGAAGTAAGCTCTACATTATATTGTGGCGAAATAACATGTTTAGTGAGATCTATCTTGAAACTTATGATTTGTAACACAAACAGCCAACAAAATCAATCTGAAAACTGTTAAATAAGTTTGTTCACCTCTATTTCTGGTTCAAAAACTGACGCCAGAGGTCAGTTACTTCGTGATTTTCGACAACTATCTTCACTCCACTTTATGATGGATCGCCAGATGGCTATTCATATTTACTGATTCTCAGAATGCTTTGCATTACATGATTGATAAGATGATTTATGTGTAATACAAACATATGGATGTTATCTGCTATAAATTATAATAGTACCTAGTTGTTACTCTTTCCACGATTGAAATTTTTTTCCGAAAAAAATTGTCAGCTCTTAGAAACATGGTAACTTGGGAAGTGTTTTTATTTCCTCCGTTTTATATGTACTTAGAAAATTTTGTGAACAATGTTGGGAAAGCGCCAGATGTAGATTTCATGTCGCAGTTGGTGCCGCCATTTTGATGGAAACTGATAAATATCCTTGAGGATGTCCTAACAGGACGAAACATCGGAAAGACATAAACACAAGTTAGTGATTTGATTAATTGTTTTACTTAAGTTATGTCTTTTTCGTTTCAATTTTAAAAATAAATAGGGTGACCATGAAAATACTATACCTCCAGTTATTTCGTCGTGGAAAGTTTTCAAGCAAGTCATGACAAATCAAATTTTTTTCCATGAAAATACAAATATATTTTTCTTTATTTTGATGTCAAAATTTTGGTATCTACCATTACATTCGGTCCATGAGTAGCATCTCCGTGGTCACTCGGTATACAGGGTGTTAGATTGAAGTAGGCCATCGACTGTATATTTCACCATTATAATTCGAGACAAAATTACTCAAAATAAAGGAAACACAGCTCCAATTATAGATACAATGTATATTACGAAGAGCAAATATGCAGAGTGATAATTAATGTCATCTCAATATGGAAGGTAGTGTTTCCTTATCTCATATGTAATAAGAACAAAAGCTTTAGCAAGTTTACTTTTTCAGAATTCGTTGTAAATTTGAAGGTAGTTGAAAAATATTTGTTATTGAGTTTTAACCGATTTTATGAGAACCAATTATTTCGGAAACAATTTTCCCAATTCAGTCCATAAAATCGGTTTTGACATTTGAAATCAGCATAAAATTCATTGTTAGTTAAAAGAAGTGAAGTTTTGTTCTCAAAGTCGTTTGATCTGACAGGTGGCCGACCTCAATAAAACACCCTGTATAATATACAATTTGCATTCAAAATCCAAAAAGAATTAAAAATTGAACGTTGCATTATTGAATATTGGGATGTGATAAGTAATAATATATCGAACGACAAGACATTTATCCTACAAAGGTATTCAGAATTTAATTTTTATTCTTTTTTTTTTTCATGCATGATAATTAGTTTTTGTCGTGTGCTTCATTGGACTGAAATTTCGGATACCCACTCTGAGCTGTCGAAATTTCATTCCACCTGATTACGTACTTTTTTGTTATGGAGTATATTTTTATGATTTATAATAGATTGCACACGTTACAAATATAAGGAAAAAATCAAATCCCCTTTAAAGTGGAAATGCGACACTTGTTGTATCCAAAATAATTTTTTGCAATTCATTTCCAAATGTTGAAATGTTGGTCATATGAACAATGATATCAATTCGTGATTTCAAATTATCACTAGTTGCAATATGAAATGTTATGATGCAGCTTTGTGTTTTTATCTTCGATATTCAAAATCTCATTATTACGCATATGGTGAAAGTGAATAAAGGTGCGCAAATGGTTGAGAGTGCGCACATTGTTGAGAGTGCGCATATTGTTGAGAGTGCGCACATTGTTAAGAGCGCGCACCTTGTTAAGAGTGCACACATTGTTGAGAGCGAGTGCGCACTCTTCAACAATAACCTGAGCACTCTTGAACACTAATCTGAGCACTCTTGAACACTAACCTGCGCACTCTTGAACACTCAAATGCGCACTCTTGTAAACATATCTGCATACGAGTGTGATTTTTCAGATACTGAATTCATGTATACTATTATTGTGATCAAAATGATCAAAAGCAAAATCCAGGCAATATCTTCAAGAATAAATAGTTATTGTCTCGTTCATTGTGTGCGCATTGTTGTAGACATTCACCCTACTGATGCTAGTGGAAATATTGTTCTAATGAGCATTCAGTGGAATAACAAACAGTCATCACTTTGTGAAATGACTAGTGTTTCACTACTCATGTCTGGTATTCAAAATACGCTCATCTTGCCATTTGTTTTTATAAATAGCTATTAAAACATTCCAAATTCTTCGAATTCACATTTATATATTCTTACAGAAGCGTTGAGAAGCTACCTTTGTGTTTTCTATATTCGTTTACTGCAAGACTTATATTCGTGAATAATTGATGATATCAAAAAGTTGTAAATAATATCCCTCGCTATGCATGTTAGTGGGATCTGAAAGTATCCCTTGTGAAATTGTTAGGATATAATGTTTAGAATTTGTTTCTAATATTGTTTTGTGCCTGTATTTCAGACTGTTTTGTTCATTAAAACAAATAATGTGTTAGTTCTATTAGGAGAAAAATAAAATGTTCAGCGCAATATTGATTAATTCACCAGGAATGTTACAAATACCAATGAAGCAAATAGTTTTTTTAAGCAATTAATTACGAAAAAATGCTAAACCAAAAAATAACTGCTTTGTTAGTAGCATTGTGTGTAAAATATCATTCTAGGATCTATTATTTATTTCATAGGAAACCTCCATTATAAGATTAATTTCAAGAAAAATGAATATTGAAATTTTGTTTCCAAAAAATATATTTTGAATGAAATAGATATCCAGTGTTAATCTTTTATTTCAACCAGGGAATATTGCTTCTTCCTTCGTCTACATAAATGGTGAATGAAAAAGATGAAATTGTGATTTATTGACCTCAAAAGCGCATTTCATGTAGGAGGAGAGTATATTTTCCTCCTGGTATGAAGAGAGTCGGTTCGATTGTCACCCTGTTTGGTACTGTAAATGAAAATATAGAGGCGCATATATTTCAAGAATTCAATTGAAAATTTCAGGATCGACGATATTCCAACACAGAAACATTCATTGTGCATTTTTGATATTTTGTCGTGACAGTCCTGACTAGGCCTAGAAAAAATATATCGATAGCTTTCGATATATCGATAACTATCGATATTTGTGACTTATTCACGTCATTTATCACGTCCTACGACGTCAAATCCTGACGTCCCCTTGCATGGTCATTCAACTGACGTAAAAAGACGTCACTGAAACGTCATCTGGTTGCCTGGGATTATGGACGAAAACTGAATGTCCAGTGAATGTCCCGCCTTAACGGATTTCCATTGTACTAGTGGGGAATGGACATCCATTGAATGTCCATGTCCATAGAGACCAAGCATGGACATCATATAGATATCCATAGGATATCCTGTGCATGTTCACTGGGTTGATGAATAAGGTTGAATAGATAGTATCTTACCATCATTAAAAATCGAGTTGCTTCAATAATTTATTAAATATCATTAAATACGAATGATTTGAAATTTATTGCATCCGGAAAAATTAAGGACTCAGTCTTCTCAATCCTCAGGCTCCTTGGCGTTCTTTTCTTGCCAGAGCTCTATCATCTCGGCTATGACCTTGTGCCCGTGTATCTTGGCTTCATCCAGGGGCGTCCGGCCCCACCTGTCGCAAACGTCGTAGGGCACCCGACAGTGGGTCAGCAGGAACTCCACGCAGTCTAGATGGCCTTCGGAGGCAGCCAGATGAAGAGCCGTTCGGCCGTCGTAGTCAGCCAAGGTCAAGTCCATGCCGGACAGTTTGTGTCTGGAAAACATCAAAAGGTTTCAATTTTCCTTGGTCCATAATCTAGCCAGTCTCCGCGTGTGGTTCTGTTTTTTTTTCACCTCTTGGAGCGCACGAAAGAAAATTCCTATGAGGTTCCAAGAACAACGTGCGTATCTATAGAGAGGATAGGTAGGTTGTTGGATTTTTTTGAGCTTTTGGAGGTTATAAGTTCTTGGAAATACTTTCATTGGCAAAGAATTCAAATGCCGCTCCCCAGGCAACCAGATGACGTTCCAGTGACGTCTTTTTTTCGTCACTTGAATGACAAAGGTTACGTCAGTAGTTGACGTCGCATGATGTGATAATGACGTGAATAAGTCATAGCCCAATGACGTCATATCATTAACGTCGTATTGGCTCCGTCCGACTGACGTCAAAATGACGCTTAAATTTGGCGATGATACGTAGAAAAGATTCCTTCAACATGGTGAGATAAACACCACTGGCCTCTGACATTGACATTACATGATATTGATTATATGCATTGTTGAGTCTGCTTGGTGGGTCCCTCCTGTGTCATGTTCATTCAATCGCCTATTCAGCAGCGCTATCCTTCAGTACGCATCTCAATCAGAATGCAATCAGTTACTCGTATTTGAATAAAAAATTATGTAGTTTGTGTCGGCGAGAAGTAAGTTTGTTGAATAATGTATATTGATGCATTCTTTGTCACCCAACAAAAATCCAAATAGCGAATTATTGAAAAAATTTCTGAATGACGAAGCTCACCAAATTGGTACGTCACACCGACGTGATTTTTAGACGTCATAGATACGTTACTGCAACGTCATAAGAGTAACGGTTTCAATATAGGTATACCTTAACAATCATTTGTATATTTACATAGCTTGTTGGTTTCCGAGATATACAGTGTGTCAAAGTTTTATAGAAAAAAATGTTCTACTTTTCGGGTATATTAATAATTTCAATAAAACTTGCATGTTGATTTGCTTTCATATGAGTTATACTTCTGTTTCACATGATAATATATGTAAGTATCCATGGTTTAGAGAAGGTCTGGGAAAAATGGACGTCGAGAGGACGTCCCTGCAACGTCATGAAACTGACGTCTTCTTTTACCCATCTAAGTGACTTCGAAACGATGACGTGATTATCACGTCATCGAAAGTACGTCATAGTGACGTCGTAAATTAGTGTGTGACGTCTCTGAATGATGACGTCACAGTGACGTCATCATTCGTCATCTGGTTGCCTGGGTCCATAGACGAACGACTTTTGGTAAAGTATAGTTCGACATATTTCAAGGTTGACAACGACCCCGACTGGGCTGTCGAGTTCGTCTGAGTGGTAGGTATTGCTAGTGATGGAATGATAGATGAGATTTCTGAGGAACATTTCCCGTGAAGTGAAAGGTCGCCGACTTTTCTACGGTTTCCTAATATGAAGTCAAAGTATTAGTGAGTGTGGCATCACCCACCAGGCGAATGACTCCTCTCTGGATATAATATACAGGGTGTTTCATAATTGAATGCTGATCCTAAAGGGCGATAATCCTTGGATGATTTTAAGGAAAATTCTTCATGTAAACATAGGTCCGTAACAGCTTCGTTTCTGAGATACAGGATGTTGAAATTTAACAATTCTTCAATATCTCTGAAACCGCTCTGGCTTTTTCCTTCAATTTTGGTACATGCCAAGTATGCATAGAAATACATTTTTTCCATAATGAAGGATTTCTTAATTTCCATCAGTGGCGTCCCTGTTAACATACCCTGTCATATTTTTCATCAAAATAATAATACGCCACTGTCTTTTTTTCACAATTGTGGTAACCAAAAGATCTAAGCAATAATTTCATAATTTTATGGTAACTATTTTTAAGTATTTGTAATGAAGAAAAAAGCCAGAGCGGTTTCAGAGATATTGGGGAATAACTGATTTTTTTGTTAAATTTCAACATCCTGTATCTCAGAAACGAAGCTGTTACGGACCTATGTTCACATGAAGAATTTTTCTTAAAATCATCCAAGGATTATCGCCCTTTAGGATCAGCATTGGTGTATGAAACACCCTGTATATTATGTGAGAACAGAGTATTCTAAGACTGGCCGTATCTGTACTTTGTGCTGTTTCTGTGAAGCAGCTTTCGCGATGGATCAGACATGAATTATGTACAAATATCTGAGTCGATGGAATATATGAATAGATGCGTCCAGCGGATTACCACCGCTCTGTTACATATGTCCCTACTGAGCGTTGATGCCCATTCTTACATTTACGGAGCCTATATATATCTAGGGTTTGTATTATCTTTGCTTGAAACAAACCCTAACCCCGAGACTATAGAACAGAATATGTAGAAGACAGAAATATTAATTGTTGTCGAACAATTGATGCACCAAAAGAAGCACACGTTGCCAGAATCAGATCAAAACTCATATGGATTGTCCCAATGGCTCCAGTTTTGTTTTGGTCCCTCGTTAAAACAGTTTGAAGGAATTTCACTAATATAGGTCATTTCTACCACTCCGAAGTCAACGGCATATTAGCAACAACATCGCATGAGAAGGCAAACATTTCAGTAGAGATATTCGCAGCAAACTCCATCTTATATTCCCAGGGAAGAATGCCACCAGATGGAAATCGAATGTTCGGAATGGTCTTTCGGCAACGCACTATCAGAAGCATTGTGCTTGGTCTTGAAACCGATATGGTTAACGGTCCGCATTCAATTCCACCCATTATTCTTAAAAAGTGTGCATAGGGTTGCCACCTCTCAGGGTTTGACCCGGAGTCTCCGGGTTTCAGTAGGGCTCCTACGGGCTCCGGGTTGGATACTTAATTCTCCGGGCCAGTCCGGACACGAAAAAAACATAAATATATTCAAAAGTACTCCATCGGAGGAAAGTTGGCAACAGTGGCAATTATATTACTGAGTTTGGTTCATGTCGTGGAGGGGAGAGGTCTAGAGTCGAGGCTAATATCTTGCAATTCAAACATGAAATATAAATTCAAATTCAAAGATTGATTTATTTTATTTTTGTATATATAGGACTGTTTTTATTTTGTTTTTCTATGAATTAGTTTTTTTTTGTTTATTTATGAATTGTTATTTTGTTTATTCATGAATTGTTTTGTTTATTCATGAATTGTTATTTTGTTTCCATATTATGTGTTTTCCTATTTTTTGTGAATTGTTTTTTGATTATGTTTAATAAAAATATTTCATTTCATAATCTTCCGTGTACTCACTTGTACAGGTCGAAAATTTCGGAAGGTCTATGGCATCAAGCCATTTTTTTTTTCGTGAATCCATTTATAAACAGACATATTGTGCTCTCGGTCCATACCTGGCAAAAAATATATTTTCAAGGCTCCTCAAATGTACCACAATCTCCGGGTCTACAGATTTCAAAAGGTGGCAACCCTAAGTGTGCACCAGAATTGACACCGATTCTCTGCAAGTAGAGGTAATCTACCATCTCGTACAAGTCGGGTATTTTTCATTCCTGCTGGGAGATAACTGAAAACCTGTCCAACAACTATAGGTCTATCGCTCTGTTGATGAATAGACATATGGCTGAAGATACCTATACTTGCTTACGTTACTGATATATGGCAATCTGTTCGGTTTGATGGAAATGGGCAAAAAGATGACATGGTTGACGTTCTTTTGCTCACCAGCTTACCTTCTCAGACTTGTCAAATCACCCGAAGCTGCTGAGAACAGTAAATTGACAATGTTCAGACCTTTCGTTTCGAACTTGTGTTTCCTAGGGTCTGTTTTATTAGAGGCGTGTTTCAAGTTGTCGTATCTGTGGAAGTTGAATTTCTTTACAAGTTCCTGAAAAACAACCAGATATTATCGACTCTCAAGTCATAGAATATGTCAAAATTACTTCACAGAATTGAACTCCTCGACAGCTGTTGCCTAAAGCGTCTAATGGTGGTGAATATAAGCACATGCCCATGACATTTGGTACAACCACCAGCATTGCCCCACTCACACCTGATTTGGCAGGCAGACCGACCTAGAAAAAGATGATGAAAGTGAGAAAATGTTCGTATAACAGATGGACAAAAGATAACCAAACCACACCTGTAATTTTTGAATGGATGGCTCATGTTACAAGATTTCCAATCTTTGACAAGCTTTATTTATATAGAGTTCTATATCATATATATGAATTGTATAGGTAGGTAAAGTCTAATAAATCCCCTTTTCAATGATGGAATTCAAATGAAACTTACCTTGAATGCAAATTGCCCAGAGTAGTCATACATTCCGCAACTGTGCATCAGGGACAATACGTCTCTGACGCTTTCCGGTTTTAGGACCTTTTCTTCCGAAATGGGACATATTCCGCCATTTGCTAACGTTGCTGCCATCACAGATACCAGATCACAGTTGGCTTCCAGAGAACAGCACTGGAAATAAAAAAAAGTCAGATCAAAAGGATGCGGGATATTATGTTATTTCAACATGTCATAACAACATATATTGTTAGTTCATGTGGTTTTACAGTTACCACCGATACAACAAGGCTGTAATGCTCTGACGTATATGCTCCTTTCCAGTAAACAGTTAAATCACAGGGATTTCGCAGCGATGTAACAATTGCCCTAACAACACGAGTACGTCCCAGGGAAGTCCTAGAGACGTCCTTCATTTTCGACGAGGACGTCCCTGGGATATCCTGTGTCGGGACATGGTACATACTAGGGACGTCCCAGGGACATCATCTTTCCATAAAAAGAGGCATCCTAGGGATGTCCTTCTGGTACGTCCCTGGGATGTACCAAGTACGAAGAAAGGATGTCCCTAGGACGCCCCAAGGATATCCCACGGACATCCCTTCGACAAAAGAAAAAAAATGTAGGTCGAGTACAGATTGAACCCGGGACCTTTGGCTTATCAGGCACGCATCTTACTCCATTGGCTATTGAGCCTCCTGAAGATTTATGTACTAAACAGATTTATAAACAGGACTTAACTACAGAAACCTGAATAAATACAACTTTGTTAGGATTTGGGTATAATTATTATATCATTCTTGGTTGTTTGAAAATGAGGGCATTATGCATGTACGATTTCTGTTTGCGAAAAATGGTAATTTCTTAAGAAGTCCTGAAACTTTATTCTTTATTTTCATTACGATTATTTTCCGGAAGACGAACAAACATTTTCAAACAAATGCCAGCTTAATACTTTGATAAAATTTAATGACTCTGATGTGAATGGATATCAGATATTCCAGGGACACGAATAGGATAACCTAGGGATGTACCGGGCGGGATGTCCACTGGACAACCACTGCGCGACATCCCCTGGATGACCCAATCATGTCCTTGTACCGCGGGACAAAAAAGGGACGTACCTAGGACATCCCTGTGTTGTTAGGGTGTGACCTGCGATGTCACACTTCATGTTGCATAGACGTCGCTGCGATCTCAGAGGGGCGTTATTTTGCCCCACTCTAGTTTCATCCATGCAACGTCGCTGCGATATGTGTTCTGCGATATATTTTTTGCGATATATGTTATTCGTGATGGAAAAGCAATGTGTTTTTGCGATAAAACTACGATGTGATGCAAGATGACATCGCAGTAAAACGTAAAAAGTTTCCTCATATGGTGTGATAATACACCACTGGCCTCTAATGACATCTCGTGGATCTCCTGTCCATTCAATCGTCTTTTCAGCGGAGGAGCGGAGCTATCCTTAGTTACCTCGCATCTCCATAGTTACTCGTATTCGTATAAAAAATTATGTCTATATCGGAGAGATGTAAGCAAAGAATAGTTTGATAGCAATGTAACGAATGTCTGCGAATTTATCTTCCATTTTTGTTTATCCAAAAAGAATCTGAATTGGTGAAAAATTTTTGATAAATTCTCTGAAATACGAAGTCAACATGTGTTCATTGCAGCAATGCAACATTCGTACCCAGGTTGCATAGTGACGTCCGAAAGACGTTCCTAATTTGGTCACAAAACTGACAGATTGAAGTCAAATAATGACGTCTTGTAGACCTCGAATAGACGTCAAGATGTCGCAGTCATAAGACATTATATGTATACGTCAAAATGACGTCTCAGAATGACCTGTAAAATCTAAATCTTAGATTAATTAAAAAATTGAATAAGACGTCATTTTCAGGCCTCTTTGCAGTCGAGTACGTCATGGACCAATAATGACTTGAAAAAGATGTCATTATGACGTCATTTTACTAACCTGTGCTATCTCAGTGTTGCCTCATCGCGACATCTTAGAGATGTCATGTCGCAGATGTGTTTGCTCGTATATACATGGCAGCGATGGGACATTCGTAATATCACAGTGTTGCCTCATCGCCACATCTCAGAAATGTCATGTCGGAGATGTGTTTGCTTAAGAACGTCACAACGATGAACTGTTTGTGATATCGTACTGTTACCTAAACGCGACATCTCAAAGATGTCATGTCATAGATGTGTTGGCTGGGTTATTGTTACTCACTTGAAAATAAAAATCCATACATTCTCCGAATTTAGTATGTTGTGGAAAACATTTATGTTCCTTCATGTAAAATCCCAAAGCGTAATTTCGGTCTGCGCATTCTCGTTCTGACAGAAAAACTGCGTTGTTGAAACCAAGATCTTCATTTCCAGCTAGCCTCTGCAAATATATTAGCAATATTTTTGTCAATTCGTTTCCATAAAAATGTGTACATAACATGCCTGGAAACTGTTTCTTTGGACTTGTAGACTTCCCAGGAATCACATACCTATATACTGCTAGTTCTGTAATCTTCTCTACTCGTCCAAAAAACAATATTTTTCGGACTTGTTAAGTAAATGTCTACCTAACGGTGCTAGAGCGATGGAAAAGAAGCGAATACTCACCTCAAAAAAGTTCATCGTGAAATCGAACTTCTCAGCAGAACTCATTTCTGGACTGTACATAGTCTTGAGTAGAGAACATATTATTATAGCTCCGGCATTGATCATGGGATTATGAGGTTTTTCTGCAAAATAAAAACCATGTGAGAAAATATATTGATGAAATATTCAATAGAATTGAGAATTGAGACCTATCATCAGTTTCCACAAAGGCTAATCTCACGAAAATTCAGAGACTAGCATGTGTATGCATTACCTCTCACTCCTCTTAATTTAGTTTTGGGGAATGCGGCAAATATTTAATGATTATCGAAAAGGAGGGATGTCACCCCTCCCCTTTCATTTTTTGAACGGGTCGACTGAAAAAATTGAAACTTGGGGTAATGAAATTGATGCATGGATAATATTTTGGAGTGAGATTGACAAATGGAAATTTTAAGATGATGACTGGGCGCCATATGGGAAAAATTAAATGGGAAGGAGGGTCTTTGTGATACATCTTCCTGAAGCTCCTGACGAATACTTCATAACCCTACAATATGAAGTCAATATCTTCACCTACTACAAAATGACGGAATATTTAATAATAGCCTGAATTCATCGACTTTTACTTCATAATTTGAGGAAATAAACTGACTTCAGTTCAGAAGATGCTAGATATTGTTGTCTTGAACTTCTTGACTTCTTACTTCCAAAGCAATAGGACATAAATGCTATTCATACTTGGGTCCAAGATTTTTCAACTCGCTACCGATTTCACTTCAGACAGAAAAGAGTAATATGTTATTTAAAAAAAAACTTACTCATTACTTGAAGAATACCTCCCGTGCACTTATACGTTTCCTATTCGATTATTAAGTTTCAATAGTGATTATCCCTTTGTGTGCATCATTCTAGGAAAGTGACATATTATATGAGTAGGTAGGTACCTATATACATGTGTTGCAAAAACAATCCACTCAACCTCAATTCAAATATATGTTCAACTTTAATTTCAGTACATTATTACTTTATATAAATTTTAATATCGTATATCTATATTTTAACATTTTAATATTATTCTTAAGGATACTTGAATTTTGAATTTGAATACATTTTATATTTTCATGTTTCTTCGTCCTCTGCGAGTATAGTTTGTTGTTCACTATTTTTAAATTAATGTATGTATGAATTTTGTTGTTTTTTTGCTCACACACAGGCTGAGGCCTCTGTGAGTTTCCATGTTTAATTGTTAATATCTTTTCTGATGTTGTTAATTTCTGAAGAAAAGCCCATACAATATTTTACGTCGAACACTCTCGAACACAGTTACGCGTCGATATATTTCTACAAATACTTATCATTCTCTGTCATATATCTAATATTGAAGCAGGTACACTCTCTCACCCATTTTGCTTCAATTAGCCCCATGAAAAAACATCTAGGTAAAGGTTTCCAATCTGGTGAGCGGGATGGCCATTCCGTAGGACCTCGACGGCCAATTGAACGACCAGAATAACTATTATCCTAAATAGTCTGAGTATTGGAGTGGTGCTTCATCTCGTTCGAATACATGCAATATCCATGCATATTGATGTTTTCGTATTCAGGCAACTATTAAATGTTCCGTCATTTTGTAGTAGGTGGAAATATTGATTTTATATTCTAGGGTTGGGAAGTACTCGTCAGGAGCTTCCATAAGATGTGTCACAGGACCCCCTTTCATCACCCCCCACTGAGATTACACACCTCGTCGGTCTTCCAACAGACCAAAGCATTATAGGAAGTTCAGTTTTGAAAAGAACTTCCGAATGGAGCATAGAATCCATAGAAGCGCTGGAAAGGAACACCATTACTTAGTATATATACAGACGGGTCTAAAACACCCGAGGGAACTGCAGCAGGAGTCTTTGGGCCTCGCACCAAATACCTCGAATCCATGGGACAATTCCCCAGCATTTTTCAAGCGGAAATACACGCCATAGAAAGATGCATCCAGTTCAACCTAGACAGGAAATACCGGAAGAAGGATATTGGGATTTGATCCGATAGCCAAGCAGCCATCAAAGCGTTGAGCTCTTCTGGCAACAACTCGAAGCTGGTATCGGAATGCCTAGCCAAATTGAAAGAGTTAGGCAGTAACAATGGAGTGATCCTCCTCTGGGTGCCAGAGGGCATATCGAAGTAGAGGGAAATGAACAAGCAGACACTGGCCCGACAAGAGCCATTCTGCGGCCTTGGAAATTCCTATTTCCAAGAAGAACTTGAGACGGCGGAAGAAGCCTTGAGAGCCAAACAATGGAGAAGACTTTCAGGACTGCGGCAGGCTAAAGATCTCATCGGAAATTTCAACCGAGAAAGATCTAAGACACTGATAAACCTCAGCAGAGGAAGTCTCAATGCAATAACGGTATTTCTAACGGGGCATTGCAGGCTCAAAGAACACCTAAGGAAGCTATAGGCTTACAGGAGGACGGCACCTGCAGATTCTGTGAGGAAGGATCAGAAACACTCCATATCACAGACTGATATGGAGTGTGACGCTGTACATTACAAAAGATTGAAAATACTGGGAACACACCAGCTGACTGTGGAATAAATACCACAACTAGATCCCCTCAAAGCCCTCAAATTCTTGAAGGAAATGAACCTTGAGGGGCTGCTATGAACAAGAAATCCTCGATATCGCAGAAGCAGATATGGGGCACAATAGATCTAATTAGGTCGCAGAGCATTTGTCACCATCCAACCTACCAATACCAATGCCCCCTTTTATTTTTTCTCCCCAGATGGCGGCCAGTCGCCATTCTTGAAATTTTCATCTCCCAATTTTATTTCAAATATAGTATATAATTCATGCATTAATTTCATTATCCAAATTTCTAGTTTTTTCCATTGACCCAAAGATAAAAGATAAAAGGGGGAAGTCAACATTAAAGAAAAGCACTGTATAGGGACGTCACCAGGACGTTACGTGCTATTACCCAGGCATCAACCAGATAACGAATGATCACGTCACTATGACGTCCCTTATTGGTGATTTTTCGTCAGAGACGTCACACACCAATTTATTACGTCACTATGACTACTTTCTATGACGCATGTCACTTAGAAGGGTAAAATAAGACGTCAGTTCCCAGACCATATATCTAAACCATGTAAACTTACATTATCATGTGAAACCGTTAGGTTTGTAACGTACCTATATATACAGGATGGGCATTTTCAGTGTCGAAAAGTTTTCAGACAAAATCGTTTTTTCATTAATTTTACACACATATATAGAAACATGTACGACTTGGCAATTTTATATGTATGCTTCTAACGTCGATAACATTGAAACAAATCAACATGCAAACTTTATTGGAATTATATATACCCAGAAAGTTAGAGAAAATAACTTTTTTAAACTTTGACACCCTGATGTGTATCTCGGAAACCAACCAAGCATATATGTATATATACAAATGAGAATATATATATTGAGACCGTCACTTTTATGACTTTGCAGTGCCGTATCTATGACGTCTAAAAATCACGTCGGTGTGACGTACCAATTTGGTGAACTTCGTCATTCAGGAAATTTTTCAATAATTTGCTATTTAGATTTTTGTTGGGTGACAAATAATGCATGAATATACGTTACTCAACAAAGTGAAACTGAATTCGCCATCAAACTATTCTTGATTTGATTACATCTCGCCGACTCAAAATACATAATTTTTCATACAAACACGAGTAACTGATTTCATTCTGATGGAGATGTGTACTGAGGGATATAGCGCTCTGCTAAATAGACGATTGAATGGACATATCACCGGAGGGAATCACCAAGCAGACTCAACAATGCATAATCAATATTATATGTCATCAGAGGTCAGCGTTGATTATCACACCATGTTCGGGGAAACTTTTTTACGTGTTATCACCAAATTTGAACGTCATTTGGACGTCAATTCGACGTCAGTCCGACGTCACAGTTTGGTGAGTGAATATAGTCAATAAAAGTGAGTAATATGACGACGTCATTGGGCTGTGACTTATTCACGTCATTTATCATATCATTGGTCATTCAACTGACGTAAAAAGACGTCACTGAAACGTCATCTGGTTGCCTGGGTAATAGGGGCGGCTGTTTATCCGAGATCTCTTATAGTTCTGAGATCTAGTTCAAAATCGTTAAGCAATAGTTACGGAATGAATTGAACTTCAATAATTTGGCCTGTTAAACATCAATAACTCACTATTGTGATCGAGTATCAGTTCGTTGAAATTCCTTCCGCTGGGTTCCTGACCAACGTAGGTATGGACCACATCGGCCCCTAAAAGATCTAGGGCGATACCGTACGATAGGGGTTTGCTGCAGGACTGGATGGTGAACGGGATGTTGACGTCTCCTAGAGAGAAACGTTGCCCGTCTATGGTGACGATGCTCACGCCCCAGTAGTCTGGGCTCATTCTTTTCAACTGAGGTATATACGATGCCACCTAAAATACCCCAAATGTAAAAACTTCACAAACTATAAGATTTCCACAAAATTCTTAAACAACAACATGTTTCGCTAACACAGTAGCTTCATAAGGTGATATACTGGTACATTGTACCATTTATCATGGATTTCCATCAAGTAACGGCCGAGTCAATTAAAAAAAAAAAAATACCCCAATTGAAAGCGGGCCACCCTCATAGATCGTTTATTATTGTGGACCGATTTTGACGATTTTCTTCTTGAAATGTGGAGAGGGGAAAGGCCTATTTTGGAGCTAAATGACGTCTACTTTCTTTTGAAAACAAGGTCAGGGCCTAATTTGATCACATTCAGATACTGAACAATCCACAATTCATATAAGCGATTTTTTTTTAGAAAAAAATCGCATACGCCACTGGATTCGACATCCTTTGAAACGAATTTAACTTTAACGATTATATGGTTAATTTACAGATACATTGTATATCATGCATCGGGAAGCTTTCAATGTTGTAATATTCATAATAGTAGGCAATTAGGCATTGCATGGGCAAGTGGACTGATATTGAATTATTGGCATTCAATTACTCCAATGTGTCGTTAGGAACCTAAATTAATTTTTGCAACACTTCTCACGCTTTTTTTTCTATGTAAATATTGAGTCTATGCGTTGTTCGAAATTGTTGAATTTCAGAGCTTATTTCAAACGTAACGTCATGGCCGCCATTTTGCGATACGTCGAATAAATGGTGACGTCAGTTTTCATGCTGCTTCGTTATTGGTCAGATGATAATTCATTTCCACTCATGAAGAAAAGTTGTCAAGTCATCAATTACCCTAACAACACAGGGATGTCCTAGGTACGTCCCTTTTTTGTCCCGCGGTACAAGGACATGATTGGGGCATCCAGGGGATGTCGCGCAGTGGTTGTCCAGTGGACATCCCGCCTGGTACATCCCTAGGTTATCCTATTCGTGTCCCTGGAATATCTGATATGCATTCACATCAGAGTCATTGAATTTCATCAAAGTATTAAGTTGCATTTTTTTGAAAATGTTTGTTTTTCTTCCGGAAAATAATCGTAATGAAAATAAAGAATAAAGTTTCAGAACTTCTTAAGAAATTACCATTTTTCGCAAACAGAAATCGTACATGCATAATGCCCCTCATTTTTAAACACCCAAGAATGATATAATAATAATTATACCCAAATCCTAATAAAGTTGTATTTATTCAGGTTTCTGTAGTTAAGTCCTATTTAAAAATCTGTTTAGTACATAAATCTTTAGGAGGCTCAATAGCCAACGGAGTAAGATGCGTGCCTGATAAGCCAAAGGTCCCGGGTTCAATCCGTACTCGACCTACATTTTTTTTATTTTGCCGAAGGGATGTCCCTGGGATATTCTTGGGACGTCCTAGGGATATCCGTTCTTCGTACTTGGTACATCCCAGGGACGCACCAGAAGGACGTCCCTAGAATGTACCATGTCCCGACACAGGATATCCCAGGGACGTCCTCGTAGAAAATGAAGGACGTCCCTGGGACGTACCTACTTGTGTTGTTAGGGTATAATCAAGTTATCAAGAATATGTTTGAGTTCTGTCGTTGAATAATACATAATAGGAGAAACTCATGACATTATAGTTCATTCTTGACCAGCATGTCCAAATATTCCTTATTCTCCATAACAAAATATCATCTGATAGATCTCATAACTAAGAGATCTAGGATGAACAGAGTTGCCCCAATTGTCAGCAGGAGCGAGACAGTACTGTTTCGACCCACCAGGTCTCATCAGCCGCTCTCGGTCTGCTGACAACTGGGACAACTCTACGCTTCGGGTATATCACCCATTTCGAAGACGCAGGGTATAACATGAAGTTATAGTCATGTTGTAGCCATCTAGTGGCAATAAAGCTCTAAGGTAGGATACAGAAATCGCGACACACACTGTATGGCGCTGCCATCTATAGTCAACACGTACAGACCCTTACGTCTATACGCTACAGAGTGGTACTACAAGTAAACCACTTTGCTGACAGATGGCACTACCTGACATACTTGAGTGGAATTTTTCCACCACCTATTCAACTGATAGATCTCATAACTAAGAGATCTCTAGGATGAACAGAGTTGCCCCAATTGTCAGCAGGAGCGAGACAGTACTGTTTCGACCCACCAGGTCTCACCAGCCGCTCTCGGTCTGCTGACAACTGGGACAACTCTACGCTACGGGTATATCACCCATTTCGAAGACGCAGGGTATAACATGAAGTTATAGTCATGTTGTAGCCATCTAGTGGCAATAAAGCTCTAAGGTAGGATACAGAAATCGCGACACACACTGTATGACTATAGATGGCAGCGCCATACAAAGAAGAATTAAAGAATAGAAGATATAACGAATGCTTATACAGGGTGAGTCGGGTTTTTGTAGTAGCACTTCAAACAGCTGAGAGAAGGCATTTTTTTAAAGAAAAGTATGTGTAAATATATATGGAGCTTCGTTTCCTATATAGGTACAAGGTTCCAAAGTTGGAGATTTTTTTTGTTTTTCCTCCTACAATTTCCAAAATAACGAATTGAAATTTGGCACACCTATCAAACTTTGGAAACGCGATGGTTGGGCTATCGAGCGTTCTGGAATACCTACAGGGTGATACACTTTTGAGTTAACCCCTCTCGAATTTGTTCGCGAACCGCCTCTGTTTTCTATTAAACATCAATTTGGAATTTCCTTTCAATTGGATACTTCTCGTTTTCTTTTGTTTGTTAAAAAACTCTATGGGTTTCAAGATGAACGAATGAATGGAAGGTCGCATGAAATTTTTGTTTTTATGGGTAATAGCAGTAAGATTGAGCCACTTCCCAGACAGCACAGAATATTATATGAATGTTCTCAAAACGTCCACAACATACCTCCTTCAGAGTATTCCGAAGAACGTTCATAGAATATATGATGAGGATGATCTGAATTTTCATACAATGTTTCACTAGAATATTCATAAAAAAGTACATCCAAATTTCTTTGAAACGTTCCTAGAATTTCCCATCATATTCTAGGAATGAACATAGAAAGTATTGTTCGAATATGCGAGGCATGTTTGTTCTCGAAGTATATGTTCGTAGTATATTCCATTTAGATATACTCTCTGAGAAGGAGAAAACATGTGTTTCCTTCAAACATAATATGTTCCAACTTGCTTCGATTTTGAGATACATGCAGGAAGTCAAATTTTTCAGAAGAAAAATCGATTTTTCATTGATTACTCAAAATCTTTTTCGCTGATATTGATAAAATCTGTCATGCTCATTTGTGGTAGCAATGGGGTTTAGTGAATTCAAATTCAACACTATTTTCTCCAATTAATTCTTCCTATATCCTATAATTTTGAGGAATTCTTTTTTATTTATATTAGGTGTCTCTTCAAGGGCTTATTGGTATATTCTCCTCCTATATCGATCCCTGAAATATTTTCCATGCACTTTAAAACACCCTGTATAATGAGAATATTCCTATAGTTCATTCTGGGAATGATTTAAATATATTTTTAGATTGTTCTAAGAATGTTCTGAATTTTTGTGTCATTTTTATGTTCTTAGAATATTCTCAGAACGTTCAGTACTCAGTGCACCTTGTGAGAACAATCTGAGAATATTCGAAATAGTCCACAAGAATATTCTAAGAACGTTCTCAGAATCACTTTGTGGTGTCTGGGTTCATGATCAAAATCCTATACAGGGTATGTCATGACGAGCTTACACTCTTCTTTATATCAAGAGTCAGTCGGGAGAAAACCATAAAAATGTGCATGCTTATATTTTAGAATACGCACAATGCAGTGTTGCCGCTTCACTATAGGAAGTAGTATCCACATTGATATTTTCAACACCCTGTATTTTATCGCATTTTGCCTGAAGAGCTGATTTTATCGCTGCATCACACTTGGGGGGTCTATCGAAAAAGATTACAGAGATATAGGGTGTTCAAAATCGAGATTTTTCAACTTTAGGATTTTTTTGGGTCGAAATTATTCATTATCGGTCAAAGCGGCTCACATGTCCCAATCTCAACTCTTGATTCACTATTTACTGATATTTAATCGGAACAGATACAGGGTAGTTCAAGATTCACAATTCTGATCACCGCGCGTGTATCTGTTACGATTAAATATCAGTAAATAGTAAATCAAAAGTTGAGATAGGGACATGTTAGCCTTTTTTGCCGATAATAAATAGTTTCGACACAAACAAATCCTTAAGTTGAAAAATCTCGATTTTGATCACCCTATATCTCATCTGTGATCATTTCCGATAGACCCCAAGTGTGATATATCGATGAAATCAGCTCTTCAGAAAGAATCTAAAGATGCCATAAGATACAGGGTATTCTATTTGAAATAACAAAGTTGTTGCTATTTTTTTATAAAAGCGGAAACACTGCATTGCTGAAAATATTCTAAATGTAGAGAGCGTATTCTAAAGTATAAGCATGCATATTTTCATGGATTTCTCCCGACTGATACATGATATATTGAGATAGTGTAAGCTCGTCGTGACTAGAGTCCCTGTATATACCTTAGACAAGAGTCCGGACACAGCTATACCTTTGGCTATACTTCTGTCTTTTTCTGTTTTCAAATAATGCATTGATGATTGAATAAAGGAATAAGACATATATATCGAGCTCTGTCTTTTCAATTTCCCTAGTAGGTAGGTATCAATGATTGTCAGAAACAATTTTGAGGGTTAGATTATTGTCAAACCGTTCATAGCCGTATATAGGTGTGAGAAATTGGGATATTTTAACTAGAATAACTATTAGATTTTCAAATACTGAACAACAGGGTGTTCAAATTTCGATTCGATAATTTTCATAAGCGATTCCTGAAATTGCTATTGCAAATTTTCGTCATCAGATATTTCCTCACTTCATCAGATATAAGGAAGAGTATTCAAGTGTTCTACGTAGTATCACATATAGCCAAGAAAATATAGTTGTTTTCTGTTGGGTTATAAAAAATAGAAGATATATGATTGTTTCAATATAATTTTCTCCGATGTTCTCAATTTAATAACACTCAGCAGAAATAAAAGTGACAAAATAAAATCAACAATCTATGTGTTCTATTTTCCTCGATAGTGTTCTGATTGTAGGAAATGGAAATTTCAATTTCAACAGGTGTTCATATCCATCAGTGGTACCACAAGAGAATTTGATAGCGAGTACTTTATTGATTGTGCCGGTTTCCCACCTCTTCCTGCAGTCTACATTCACCTGTAAATTTTGAATTTAATCTCAATTAAAAACACCGTGGACTGATTACATAGCACAATGCAATTTCTCTAAATCTTCTAGTTTTGATTTCAAACTTTCAATTTCTTTCCGCATCATCTCATTCCCATTTTCTTTCTCTGCGATCGTATCATTCAATAATTCCCAATACGTTGACGACGGAACTCTTTTTTTGAACGTCTCTATTTTATAAATTGACGGCACATCAGACTCATTCAATTTGAAATCCATCATCTTGAAAGAATCTCTTTTTACAAGTAAATTTGAATATTCACCTCACATATTGCGGATTTCTTGAAATTAATTCTCCATTCTGGACGTTTCATTGCATTCTTCCATGACATTATCTTTGAAGCATCATTCGGAAAATTGAATAAGTTGAATCCCTTTTCTAATGAATTATCGCAATAATGTACGCAGCAGGACATTGAAATAATTCAAAATGCTAAATTTTGGCGGTCATAAAATTTCAAAGCGACAGTGACAGAAATTCGAAATAATTGAAAAAAGCGGGCGGGACGACTATGGTGTTTCGTTCGTCACATTGTCAGGTAGGCAAACCAAATGAAACAAAATATTAAAAACCTCAACGGCTGTCAGTTTTGTGTCCGGACTCTTGTCTAAGGTATATACAGGGACTCTAGTCGTGACATACGCTGTATAAGCAAAGGTGTCTCAGTGGGTATAATATTGTAATGATATTTCCCTCAGAGAGGGGCTTTAGAAACATCATCAGTAAGACAGGAGTACAACGATCATCTTGTATCACGCATCCCAGATTGTTCTCCAACCTCCCAATGATTCCTACATACACCAGCATATTTCCGAACACTCAATATATGCCCCAGTGTCAAATAACGTCATAGAAGATTCTGGAATGTTCTGGAAACAATCGATGGAACAATTAGAGAGAGAGGTTTTGTTCTAAAAAGCTTCTAGAACAAAAAGAAGGAGACGAAAGATCATCCGAGAACGTTCTCGAACCAAAGCCTGCCAAGTGATCTCATATATAAACGACCGAACAACTGCAGTCAGTTAGTTAAGCAGCGAGTGTCAGAGAGACAGTTATATACCGCGTGATACAAATCGTTTTACATAAATAGTAGTTATAAGTTCGATATAAATTAGTATGTTTCTTTAGTTAAAATAAATCAGTTCGAAAATAAATAGTGTCGTGTTCGCTTCTGCACCCGAATCCGAATAACGTAACAATATCGTCGATTCATTGTTGCATCGTGTATTTTGTATGAAATCTTTTTTGAACAATCTGTCATTCCAAAATATAGATATAGAAAACTAGGAGATTTATATTTACATGCACAGAAAGTGGTTCTGAAGTCAGTAGTACTTTATAAAGGGCCGTAGAGGACTTCAGCTTACTGTGTTTATTAGTGAATATGAAGAAGAATCTCTTTTGTTCTGCAGCCTCCAATTCAGACCCATGGGCGTCATTTAGAAGGGGCAGGGGGAGGGGCAATTGCCAATTGCCCCCCCTGGTTTTCTACTAAAAATAATTCCCCTATGAATCTTCCTGTATCAATGACACAAAACGAAACAGATCAGTACTTTAAATTGAAAAAATTCAATCATTTCAAAATGTTCGTATTGTCAGAATTTCCTTAATTATTGTAAAAACTGCAGGCGCCCTCGGCCATTTGAAAATATATCAAGGAGCGCGCTATTTACAGATTTATTTCTATCTAGTATAGGTACTACAATATACTGTGATAATTTTTGCATGGAATGAATGATATGAAAATATTGAAATGAATTAAAGAATCTCTGAATAATTTCGCAAGATTGAGAAATGAGTCAGTATCCCTTTTTTGATAAAGATCATTCAACACTACTCATCCAATAATTTATATAACTTCAACCTATTTCAGATATTTTTTGATTTATTCATATTTATTTGACGTTTCTTCATTTTTGTTATCAAAATACTCCTCATCTTCCTGGATTCTCTGGGTTTCCTCTACTAGTTTTTAAAAATAAAAAATATTAGAAAACAATAATGTCTCTGTGTTCAAGGGTTGTTACTTTCATAAAACTGGAAGAGTAATCTGTTACTAATAATCAGTGACACTCATTTATTTTTATTTCACATAATATGGGTTCAATATAATCAGATTTTCATTCAAGAACGAGGATGAACATATTGAAGAATCTGAAAAAATTAACATTCGCCTGCTCAGTAAACCTTTCAGGGAGTATTCAATCACACTTGTCCTTCCAATTAACATATATTTTTTTATAATCTCATAGCAATTACAACAAAATGAGGAATTGAATATAATGTAGTTAAATGTGATATGAAGTCAAAAACATTCGCCTACGGCGCATATATAATATTTATAACATAAAATGAAATTCTTTGAGTTTCTTGTTCCCCCTAGTATACACTGAAATGACGCCCCTGTTCAGACCATTGATTCTGAATGAATTAAAAAGGAATATTCTGAGATAAATTATGGACATGGAAATGGATGTATGTACATAATATAAATAAATATATTGAGAATTCGCATTCTCTATGTGATGAAAATATCAATTCTTTTTCGGTCTATTCAACAAAAACAACTACTTTCCTGGCTATATTCCACGACGAACATTATATTATATTTATTGAACACACACGATAGGTATAAATTTCGAAACAAAATCTTCTGGAGTTGAGAATTTGCATGTATTCTCTTTCATATGAAAATTTGTAATTCACATAACATTCTGAATATTCGACAGAAAACAACTACTTTCCTGGCTATTTGCCACATCTAACATTGAATTATATCTGTTGAACGTTGAAAACGAGAGCATGAAAAATAAAAATCCTCTAAAATTGACAATTGACATCCTAAACGAGTACCTACTCATGCGTTTTTTTTCCGGACCTCCATACAAATTTTCAATAAATATCTGGATCCCACTTGAAATTACTTACCGTTCCGTGGTCTAGAAGGTAGTTTGAAGTCCTACGGTCCTTTTAAAGGGACTCCAAGTTTTTTATAAAAAATACAATTCTTTATGCAATTCATTTCCTTAGTTATTCTCATCTGAGTAGCCTGAATGGAATTGATAGCTATAAAAAACAACGTAGTCGAAAAAAAAATGTCTCAGGACTATCTGGGTTAACATAAATTAGGGGTGGTCCACACTCAAAATCAGAAAGCCAATCTAACCGTCGTTTGAACAGGTATGTAGATTGAGATGATCGAACAGCGTACCTACCAATTTTGAATTTTACAAAAACTTCTAATATGTGGCCTACGTAACTCACCCTATATGTTATTATTTGGTGTGAATTTTTATGGAAGAATTTTCTGTGGATATGACATAACATGAGGATGAATATTCTGGCATGGGCCTACTTAGATTATACACTTTATTGCACAGCAAACCCAGAAGTACTTGATAATATATATTGATGTTGATAGTTGCCCCAACGAAAAAAAATTACAAAAGATAACTCACCTTCCCATTGGTGTTTTCTTTACATTTCCAATAAATTTCTTCGATATTTTTACTAAATTCTTGGAATTCTGGAATGATGAATTGATTTCTGAAGGCGTATGACAAAAGCCCAACACTAGATTGCACTATACTGAAATTAAAATCATAAATATATTCAGATTGACTGAATGTTCCAAGACAAATATGCAGTATTTGAAATCCGTTTGAAATAATATGGACAATATTTGGATATTATTTTTGACGGATGCTTTGAAAGATGATAATGTATTAAGTAGGTACTCATAGTAAAAATATCATGTTTTCACAACTTCAACAACCTATACCCAAGGGTATTTCAGAGTTATGGTGCCAAGGCCTAGGAGATATTCCTCTCAAAAATATATGAAAAAAGTTCATATCATGAACAAGGGTTCGAAATTGCTTCGTTTCCAAGTAAAAAAAATAGATTCTCATTAATATCTTGAGAGCTATCAAGCTGATTTGAATGATATTTCCAAAGCTTATTCACACAATTATTAAATTTTATACAGAATTTACAGGGGCGTATCCACCTATCGAGAAAATCAGCTTTTTTGTCTTTTTCTCGACCCGCTTAAAATAGAAAATTTCTGTTTCTTGCAATTTTTTCGTATCTTTCTTCGTTCTCGAGAAAAACGGAAAATATACCATTCCTCGCCATATTGAACTGAACTCTATAAAGAAAAAGGAAAATGCTCAGATATAAAATGCAATATACCGGGTGTCCCCAGTTATCGTATACAGGCAATATCTCGCTTATTTGACAAGATAATTGGAATATTCAAAAACTGCATTGAATGAAGTACCGTCCCAATGATACACAATTTTCATCTCCCTATAATATACAGTGATAATATAACTAAAACTATAAAGAACTGAAATTTGAGAATTATAATTTGGTGACATAACCACTGTCATCGGGCATTTGTTTTTGGATGTATGATAAATTGATATTCATCATACAGACTGGCTGAAAGAATAACTGGACTTAGGTTACTGATGAGGATAATGATATCCGAAATGAGTTTCACTCGAGATGAGTCATGTTTGTGAGAGATATAATTCCCATATCACTGATACGAATGATTTTTTGTGGAAGTTCCAAGCTCATCAAGATCAGAGTTCATACAAGTATACTTCTCCTATACATTTCAATTTTCATTTCAATACCGAACATATTGGTAAGTTATATTTTTATATCATAATACATAATATTATTCTATTCGATTTGAGAGATAATGTCAACTCTAAGTTTCCGAGGATTTTGATTTATCATGCTCTCTTTTTGGATATTTAACACATATAATTCAATGTTCGACGTGGCAAATAGCCAGGAAAGTAGTTGTTTTCTGTTGAATATTCAAAATTATATTATATGCATATCTTTATATGAAGGAGAATACAAATACTCTACTTCAGAAGATTTTGTTTTCAAATCCTCGTGTGTGTTCAATATATGTAATTCAATATTCGTCGTGGCATATAGCCGGGAAAGTAGTTGTTTTCTATTGAATAAACCGAGAAAGAATTAATATTTTCATCACATGAATTTTGCGAATTCTTAATTTTTTTTATATATCCATTTTTTTTGTGTTCATAAATATATCTGAGAATATTCCGTTCCAATTGTTTCAAGCTGCTTAATCATCTTTATCAAAATGAAAAATTTGCCTCCTCTCATGGCTTTTGTTTAAAAAAAACCGATGCTTCTCATGTCGAAATAATTTTCGACACTTGCTGTGATTTTTAGTTCATTTTTTGATTCGCATAAAATATATTTTAGTTGAAATTCATACTTCACTATAGTTGCTGTTCTTGTTATAATAATAATAAAATAACAAGTATATGCTATCGTTGTATATTCCTAATAGGATGACTGGCAATTTTCAATGACATTCGCAAATAAAAAGTGAGGGATAGCTGCCAGAGAACTGTCAAATGTAATAGATATGTTGTATATGTCATTAGGAAGGCACTTCAATATGCCATTCAATGTAGTTTTTGGATTTTTCAATCATCTTGTCAAATAAACGAGATATTGCCTGTATACGATAACTTGGGACACCCGGTATACGATCTTCAAATTTTATGAGAATTTTTTTTTCTCCTAATGGAAAACTCATTTTTCTAAACATACACCCACATTATCTCGGGAAAAAATTATTTTCGGACCCATATGTTTATATTAACTTCTTACATGTTCCGTTGAGAGGAATGCCCCATAGGCTTTTGTCTCCACAACACTCTGAAACATCCTGTATAGCGAAGAAGATGCACTTCCATGCCTAGTTCCATTTTTGTCCTATTTCAATGAGTTTGGCAAATAAAATCTGGAAAGCCATAATATATGCTGATGATTTTCATCGTATTGAATGTTTACTGGTTCGAATATCCAAATGGAGAGTATATTTTTTCACTCACCTTCGGAATTGTTCCAGTGTCAATTTTTCCGTGTCTACAGCAGACCCATCAGGATTCCTCCTAGACACCCTCTTCAAATTGTCCATCATATTCTGTAATCTAGGATCATTTTTCCTCAGTCCTGTACCTTTGACTGCCTGAAAACTCAAACTCAGCACAGGAAAATTCGCGAAACAAAATACGAACCGACAGAAAATTCCCTATCGACAGCAATCCGGTGTCTTTATTCTTGAACATTTCAAATAGTGCCACATCCGTCTGAATGTCGCTCCCACTGGAATTAGGTTTTTATTGAGTAAAGAGGGGATTCGGATGGGGTTAGGTTGTCAACATGCCAGACAACTCCCTAATTTTCATTTCATCAACATCGAACTCATCAACGCTCAACTCACAGGAAACGACCCAAACCATTCAAGAAATCAACATTCAATCCAAGTCACCATCACTCATCTCTACAATTAGAAAATCTCAGTCATTTGCGCAAAAAATTCAAAAAATAATTGTTACAATATTCAAGAGGCCGATTATTCGACCTATTTCAAGAATTGAACTTCATATGAAGGATCTCGTAAACGTCCTAAGTTTTGAGTTACAGGGTGTCAATGTTGAAAATATGCATAGATTCTATAGATTCTTTTTTGTCCACCCTGTATCTTCTCGTGATGGCAAAATTCAGTCTACTATGTGACTGAATCGGTATAAAAATTTCAAAATGTGACATACTGTGGTTACCCAGTGATGGATGTCCTGAATGGGGTCCTCAGACATCAAAATAATTGAATAGCCTTTCATAGCATTGTACAAAATTTGAAAATTTTTCATCGTTTCTCACTTTTAAGAAAAATATAAACAATACTATTCCCGTAACGGTGCCACTGGTAGAGCAAATGAAAATTTTTGTACATCAGAAAATGCACCTTGATACATAAAAGACGTGTACCAAATTTCATGAAGATGCATATAATATTTTCTCAGTTATTATATGGAGAAACTGAATGTTTTTCAAAACTTCATCACCCAGCATCTCAAAAGACTTTCAGGACATACGTTCATGTGGATTGTGGAGTTTTCTTCTTGAAATGCGTCAAAGAATCACTCCCTCAAATATTAGCATGTCTTTGAGGAACACCCTGTATATAATCGCTGGTGAGAATGAAACGTGAAATTTACGTTTTCCAACATCGTTTCTCATTTTTCGTCAAATTGACAGAGTTCTGACGTTCAACTATCGTTAATTTGAAGAGTTGATTAAACCCTTGGGATTAACGTTTCTCCAAGGCTTATTTCGACAACGTGAATTATCATCAAAATATTTCCACCATTGATCCTGCGAATGCTCACAGTAAACAAACATTCATTCGAAAAGTTGATTGGACCCTTGACATAATAGTAGGCTGTTTTCGAAGCCGAGCGAAATTTTCGAGTCAAACAAAGTCACTTTTGATCCAAATGAAACATGGTATTTTCCATGCAACCGAAAGAATTAACTAAAATAGATATGTGAATTAACCACCAATGTGACTTACTTTTGACAGATTATTAGAATAACTTTATTATAATAATATAGGTGACTAGATAGAAGCTAGACCTCAGACTAATTTACATTAAAATATTTGTGGGCGATACCTTTCCTTCGTTAGAATTTGTGTTGACATGCATCATCAGATACGACAGGCACGAATTCCATATTATACCCGAAACATAGATGCCGTGCCATATGTATGCAATGCAACAAATAATCCGTGTGGTGAGAATATTCTGCCTGCATTTACAGATCAGGTTTATTCAATTTCCAAGGATGTTGGAATTGTTGTTTCAATATGAATACAATCACAGAGTGGACCATTTGTGTATTCTATTGAATCGATGAATCGATGAATTCTTTGGATCAGGTGTCAGCCCTAATAGCAAATACCGCGCCAGTGCCAGGAATAGGAAAAAGAAGTGGAAAATGTTAGGTAAGTGAGCATATCAACGTCAACAATGATAATAGCGGTAATCAAATGAAGGTAAGAAATATCTTTGAGTGAGATAAAAAAGTATTCCTGGCAGTAATTATTCAAAAACAAGTTATCCAATCAATCAGGTCCCGACAATGAATGAAATACAGATCAAGCAAGTATTTGAATATTGAAGGCTCTTCTGATCGAGACAAAAATACTTAACTATTATATGGTGTATTCATTTCTCCCCAAATAACCAACCATAACAATTTTGTTTATTCTTGATGACCTAATACATCCATCGGTTGCAGAAAAACGTTTCTTCTACACTATTCCGTAACTATTTTCTGTCCAACCAGAATGTCATTACCCTAATAACACAATTATGTCCCATGGATATCCTTTGGACGTCCTGTCGGGACATTCAGGACTTGGTACCGTAGACGTCCATTCGACACTGAGGGACGCTCAAATGTCCCACTTGAGGACCAACTAGGGACGCCCTTGAGGGATATCTCTGGGACAACTATCGAATACCTAAATCCTACAATATTCCTCATCAAGCACTACGGTGGACATCCTTAGGACATCCGTAGGACAACCTATCAGCAACACTGAGGGATATCAATTGAATGTCCATAGGATATCCCAGAGACGTACGAATTTTTCTTGAATTCGAATTTTTCTGGGTCCCTCTAGGACCAGATCTTGCATAACTGATGAGGACATCCAGTTGAGTTGATGGTCCGTAGAAGGTCCCCAAAAAGTTTCCCAAGGATGTCCAATGGACTTACGTGAAGGACATTGACGTGGAGTATTTATAGCCTACGAGCAATCATTCGTCGGCGAGGTGTAAGTTAACGTCCCCGCAGGGACAACATATTGAAAGTACCGACTGGGACGTCCGTAGGACGTTATTTCTAGGACATTGGAAGAGTACAATTCATGTACCAATTGGGACATCCGACGGATATCCCTAAGGGACTTTTCGATTGTTATACGATCCTGGAAATATTAAGGGCGTCTGTGCAGAGATATTTGAAGGAATGTACCATCAGGGACATTTCATGGTTTTCATGCCAGAATATGTACTACTCGGGACATCCGATGGATGTCCCCGAAGGAATGTTTAAAATCATATCCCATCAGGGACATGCCAAGGACGTCCTTGCATGGACATTCTACAATATGTACCACGTGGGACGTCTAAGGGATGCTATTTCTAGGACATTTGAAATGATGTACCAGCTGGGACATTCCGTGGACGTCCTTGCTCGGACATTGCATGGGATGTACGGAATGGGACGTCCCAAGGACACTTATTTTTGGTCCGGGACATTCGGACTTGCATTGTACCAAATAGGGACGTCCCTAGGACGTTGTGTTCTATTAGGGTATGATAAACTAAAATTCATTTAGAACGTTGGATTAACTTTCGAGATGAACGTTTCTTAATCATAAGGATTAACCGTAACTATTTTATAACCGTTGGTAAACTGAACTTACGTTTTCAACAATGTTTGTTGATTGTTATTCTAAAACGTATAGGTATTCTTTAGGCCTCTAACATCTCGTCGAAGCTCACACGATATGTTTGGATAAAAATACGCGCGAGTATCCAAGCATATTTCAATAAGGACACGTATACAGTCTGTCCAAGATAAGGTTGAACAGCATGGGGATCTCGAAAACGGTAAGAGATACGAAATCGGTTAAATGGGGAAAAAGTTGCGCATTCGGAGGCTCATATCAAGAGCCTTCGGAAATTTTGAAAATTATTTTTAGTTTTTGAGTTATATCGAAAAAAGTGAATTTTTGGAATTTCTATTTTATTTTTTTCTCCGTTATTATCAGAGATACAGCAAAACTGAGAATACTTTTTCATAGCAACTTTTGATGACGGTCAACGTGGTGATACCGATTTTTTCATGCGACGTTTCGTATTCGTGGAACCATCATCAACTTTTGTTTTTTGAATACGGTCCTGATAATTTTTTCACAGATTCTAAAAGGTTTTTTTATTCTGAATTCAACCATGTATTATACAAGGTGATTCATTTGTGTTTCGACCTATTTTTGGCCATCATCAATGTTTTTTAGAAACTCCAAAGGAAAAATGCCATCAGTTCCACTTATTTTGAAGGAAAATTAGTCAACACACTAATACCTCATCAACTGGTTTCAATCAACAACCCATTTCATTTTGCGGAAACAAAAATTCCATCCATACAAATTCAGAATATGTCAAGCGCTAAAACCAGGCGATGACGAAAGGCGCAAGACATTCTGTGAGTGGTTTACCAGGAAATGTTAAAATTTTGCAGATTTCTTTCGAACAATCATCTGGACTGATGAAAGCATGGTCACTAATCATGGTAGCTTCGATAGAAAAAATACACATTATTGTTCACGAGAAATAATGAACATTTATACATTACAGCGAGACACCAACACCGTTTCGGCTATAATATGTGGGTTGCAATATTTGGTACACGAATTATTGTTCCTTCTATTTACCATGAAACACAGACTTCCGAACGTTATAGAAATTCGCTTGAGAATCATCTTGAGGAAGCTCTGGATGATTTACCGATTGCGGAAGTTCAGAACTCTGTTGGTTTCAACAAGATGGCGCTCCGGTACATAATTCCAGAGAAGTCCGTGCGTTTTTATCCCTTGGCCGGCGCGGTCGCCTGATTTGACACAGCTGGATTTTTTCTTAGGGGATATATCGAACTTTGTACACACAAATAACTTTGAGGATGAAGAAGAATTAAGCGACAGTGTCTTCGAAGCATTCAATAGAATAACCCCAGAAATGCTTAGCAATGTCTTAGAAACAACTGTGAGAAGAGGATATATCTTTGTTCAGAAAATAATGGTTATCATTTTGAACATTTGTTATGAATGTCTCTGTAGGTATTGTCAAAGTTAAGTTGTTAAAGTAATTCGTGTAAGAATTCATCAACAATTTTGAACGCTGCATTGATCGAATGATGTAGTGAAATATTTTTTATTCACTTTTCAGTATTGAATAACTAATCCATCAAGTTTGACACTGAATGATAAGAAATAAGTGGAACTGATGGCTTTTTTTCATTTGGAAGTTCGAAAAAACATTGATGATGGATAGAAATAGGTCGAAACACATTCGAATCACCTTGTATAGTACATTGTTGAATTCAGAATAAAAAAACCTTTCAGAATCTGTGAAAAAATTATCAGGACCGTATTTAAAAAACAAAAGTTGATGATGGTTCCACGGATACGAAACGTCGCATGAAAAAATCGGTATCACCACGTTAAACCTCATTAAAAGTTGCAATGAAAAAGTATTTTCAGTTTTTCTGTATCTCTGATAATAACGGAGAAAAAAAATGAAATAGAAATTCCAAAAATTCACTTTTTTCGATATAACTCAAAAACTAAAAATAATTTTCAAAATTTTCGAAGGCTCTTGATATGAGCCTCCGAATGCGCAACTTTTTCCCCATTTAAGCGACTTCGTATCTCCTACCGTTTCCGAGATCCCCATGCTGTTCAACCTTATCTTGGACAGACTGTAGATGAATAACTGTAAAAAAAAGTCTAATCAACTAATTTGTGTTTAAATTGACCTCCTCCTGAACCAGAAGCGATACGCTAACGCTAGAATTTATTCGAAGAAGAAACTCAATCGAAGGTGACTTGATGGTAAATCGCGAGTTTAAGTTAGGCAATTTTATTTCACAATATTGGGATATTCCCCATTGGGAATCTCCGAAGTGGTACCTTTAAAACTGGTGGAACAAATAGTGATGGGTCTTCTATGTGTTGAGTGAGTTTGGGTCGTTCAATGAGGTGGGTGTTGATGACAATAGGGAGCTGTCGCTGAATTGGGACCTTGATAAATTGAGTTGTTGATGAGTTATTGAATGTTGATGAAACAGCTAGGTGCGGAGAAGTGATATAAGTTGGGTGTTGATGAATCGGGACTTTGTGGAATTGTCTGTTGATGATTTGATTTCACTTACTAGGATACGTAGCTTGTGTCATGGATGAATGAATAGTTGCGTCTGAAATCAATGGAACATTTAGTTCAATGTTCAGTGAACGACTGTCAAATTTTCTTCACCTTTGTCTCAGCCGAGTATAATTATTGCTCTGAAAGAAAAAGTAGAGTTACTAAAATGGTATCGAATAATGATCACAAATACAGGGTGTTTCATTGATATTGCACGAAACTTCGAAGTCATCTTTTCTGGGTCTAAATTAGAGAAAGGTTCAAGTAATTTTCCGATATACAAGGTGTTTTGTTAATTTCAAAAAAATGCCTGAACCGATAGTGATAAACATACCAACCGTATTCACTGAACCTTTCTCATATTTGCATATTTTTGGACTTTCAATTCATCATTACTGTTCTTCTCTCAGGGACTCAGAGCACAGAACTCATAACGTTTATATCTCACGACTAGAATGCGTATCCAATATGGCGGACGAACAAATCATGCATCAGCTGCACCACTGTAAGTGAACCATGAACAGTAGCGGCGTTAAAATTCGTGACGAAATGGAAATGGACGCCAGTGGCATATCTCAAAAATGGGATCAAAGTATAATTATATGATTTTTGAATGTTTGATTAATTGATAATTATCATTCAGGACGTGGAAAGAAATTTAAAATTAAAAAACCTAGTCACGAATCTGCGAATGAGGTCTATAAAAATAACAAGTTTCCATCATTCAAGTTTGAACCCCTTGATTATCCATGAAATAATTCGTATAGAAGAATAAAATCGCAAGTGCTTCCTTCCTAAACGCTACGCCTAAAGCGGAATCTGAAATTGAACTTGAGTCAAACTGAAGCAAATGTCATTCGCAACTAAAAAACGTAAACGTGAGTTTTTACGGCATTTCTCAGTAGTGTCGCTCTTGCCACTTGTGCTTCATCCTAAAATGAAGTGGAATAATCACAACAATAATATTTTTTGAATAACAAATAATATTCATGAGTACTGGCGGAGACGTAAATTGCTCCTTAGGGAAGTTGTGAAAATAGGTTAAGTATTGAGTATTTTTCCATTTTCTACATCGTGCCATTTCCACACACAGTGGCATCTTTCAACGCAAAAAGCTGAAAATTTTCAGCTTTCTGCGTCATGTCCATTCCAGATTTTGCTTCACCAATCAGAATGCGAAACGTAAAAAGCAAAACGTAGAAAGTTTGGTTGTGAACGCCGCTTAAGTGGTTGAGGAACGCGTGACTTCTTCCTAGTTGAATATACGCCGATTCAATACTTTTATTTCTCAACTTAAACATGAATAACATTTATGTGGGTATATATAAAACCTAATATAACATGTAAATAAAACAGCAACATAATAATATGAAACATTACGGTAACACTACACGTTAAAACCCTCTGGGGAGACCTCCCGGTGCCCAGAGGTCGGCCACGAATGGTCTAGGGGGGTCGGTTTTTACACAACACACATGATAGATATGATGGGCAGGCTATGTCCCAGGACTGGGTCCTATCCATGGCCAATATCAGCGAGATGCTCAGGGCGAGCGAAAATTCAACGTTCAGATTTGATGCTACCAAGATCTCTCTAAATTAGGTGATTTAATTAGTGGAAAATGAAAATAAAAAACCACTATTTCAATACTTCCAAGTGCAACTGCCATGGGGTGGTGTGGGTAAGGGTTGGGGATGGGTTTGGTAGGAAGGTATAGGACTAACAGACTGAATTTAAGCGAATATCAGTTAGTCGGATGTGGTCCGAGTGAATATTCACTGGCTCGGCTAGTGGTTGTGCCAAATTACTAACTTTGCCCACTTTGGGCTGGATGTGATCAGTCGTTCGGTCGGAACCAGAGCATTTTGATCTTCGGGTCGACCGAACCACCTTATAAACCTCGAATAATTCCCGTTTTAGGGAGTTTGAGAGCGCGTTCAGTCTATTGGGAAAAGGGGAGGGTGGGATTTTATTCCAGGGGTTCCCTGAAAATACCGCACGCTTCGTAGATAAGCCCGTGTTTTCTACGTTGGACATGATCTGCCCTGATTGAGGTGATATCGTTGGTTAATCCGCTATTGCGAATGTGATACCTATAAAATTTATCTGATAGTTTCAGAATGTAATCTCTTATGAGAGGCAGATCATGGCACTGTGAATGCAAGTCTACCATTCGAGTGTATCTGTTACCGTTGGTAATAATACGGAGTACCTTATTCTGTAGTATTTGTAATCTACTCATATGAGTAGACGAAATACTACAGAATACTGGGCAGGCGTATGTTAATGTTGGCCGGATTATTTGTTTGTAAATCAGGAGTTTGTTGTCCAGTGATAGCGAGGAATTCCTTGCCAACAAAGGATACAAGCTCCTGATTGTCGCGTTGGTTTTTGCTAAAAGATATCCAGTATTTGCGAAGAAGTTCATACGTCTGTCCAGTTTGACTCCCAGGTATTTCACGGAGGCCTTTACCTCCACCTCAGTGTCCTTGACACGCAAAGGTTGGAATAAAGTGTTGTTTGTGAATTTTCTAGAGAAGTTTATGATTTCTGTTTTGGCATGATTTATTCCAATCTTCGCGTTGTCAAGATACGGAATGACCCTCCTGTCCAGGTGTTCCTGGATCTGAGCCCTGGCGACATCCGAGAAGTACGAGTGTGCATATATTGCAGTATCATCCGCATATAATGCAGTACTCGCATTAACACCTGCCTCGAGTGGAAATTGTCTGGAAATAGTGTTGTTAATTTTGACTTTAATGTTGCGACGGGCTAAATACGAGTCGATCAACTTAGTCTCTAGTCTTCTCTTAGTCTCTTTGTGACCATTGTTTTCCACTCTGGGCAGTGGCGTAACTTCATATTTTGGCCCCCCTGCCAAAATCATTTAGGGCCCCCTCGAGACAAACGTTTTCAGACAGAAGTCCCTTCTTTCCATGAACTATTAGTTATATTGAACAACCAGCAAGCTCCACAATACGCTTTATTTTCTTTGGGTGAATAACACAACCATTCTCTTGGAATAATTTGCCCAGCATGAATAATAAAAATTAGAGAAACTCCTCTTTTGGAAAATTTATATCTGGTTGAGGGCCATTACGAGTTCTCCATTTAAAATAATTGGCTTGTATCGGTGATTTCACACATCACCCTGGATCTACACTGAAAAAAACATGCCTGCACTATTCGCAGAGATGGAAAACTTATTTCTGTGGCATATTCATAATTAAGTCCTTGCTCTGGTTGGTGGACCCAGGGCCCCCTCCGAGGAACGGGCCCCCCGCCACCGCGGGGTTTCGCGGTACAGTAGTTACGCCACTGACTCTGGGTATTTGGCTTTTTCCTAGTTAATTTTCAAGTTTTTTTTATTGCTTGAAGCGCACGAAAGAGAATCCCTATAATGTTCAAAGAACATCGTGCGTTCCTAGGGAGGATAGGGACAGGAGGTAGGTATTGGAATTTTTTTTGAACTTTTGGAGATTATATGTTAGGAATACTTCCACAGGCAATGAATTCCAGAGCCTAGCCGTTCTATGGATGAAGTAGTCTTGATTAAGTGCTGTTCGACATCTTTCGAGGTTGACAACGAAAGGATGTGCTGACTGGGCTTGTCTAGTTCGTCTGATTGGTATTGCTAGTGAAGGGATGATAGCAGAGATTTCCGAAGAACATTTCCCGTGGAAGTATCGATAGAAAAGTGAAAGGCCGACCTTTCTACGGTGTTCCAATGATGTCAAAGAGTGAGTGAGTGTGGCGTCACCCACCAGGCGAATGGCTCTTCTCTGGATGGAATCTACCCTAACAACACTAGTACGTCCCAGGGACGTCCCAGGGACGTCCTTCATTTTCTACGAGGACGTCCCTGGGATATCCTGTGTCGGGACATGGTACATACTAGGGACGTCCCAGGGACATCCTCTTTCCACAAAAGAGGCATCCTAGGGTTGTCCTTCTGGTACGTCCCTGGGATGTACCAAGTACGAAGGAAGGATATCCCTAGGCCGTCCCAAGGGTATCCCAGGGACATCCCGTCGACAAAAGAAAAAAAATGTAGGTCGAGTACGGATTGAACCCGGGACCTTTGGCTTATCAGGCACGCATCTTACTCCATTGGCTATTGAGCCTCTTGAAGATGTATGTACTAAACAGATTCAGAAACAGGACTTAACTACAGAAACCTGAATCAATACAACTTTGTTAGGATTTGGGTATAATTATTATATCATTCTTGGGTGTTTAAAAATGGGGGGCATTATGCATGAACGATTTCTGTTTGCGAAAAATGGTAATTTCTCAAGATGTTCTGAAACTTTATTCTTTATTTTCATTACGATAATTTTCCGGAAGAAAAACAAATAATTTCAGAAAAATGCAACTCAATACTTTGATGAAATTCAATGACTCTGATGTGAATATATATCAGATATTCCAGGGACACGAATAGGATAACCTAGGGATGTACCGGGCGGGATGTCCACTGGACAACCACTGCGCGACATCCCCTGGATGCCCCAATCATGTCCTTGTACCGCGGGACGTACCTAGGACATCCCTGTGTTGTTAGGGTAAGAGCATCACCGTATGTTTTGGTGCTGAACCCAATATGTGGGAACAGTATTCTAGAACAGGCCGTATCTTCGCTTTGTAGATCATGAGAAGCTGTTGAGGTGTAAAGTAGCTTTTCGCACGGAACAAGAATCCGAGTTTTTGTGAAGCAGCTTTGCGATGGATCTGACATGATTATCCCATGAAGTATGATTTAAACAGCAATGAACACTTTTTCATCACCAAAAAATACTTCCAGCTGTATGCCATGGATCAAATCAAATGGGCCATTGAATCGCCAGCTATGTCGTGTTTGCTGGGTTATTATATGTCGAAAATCAAAAGAATGGATGACGTGAAACACATCGATACAGATAAACGAGTATCCAGGCACAACAAAATAATTTTTTCTATTGAATTCCATCAGTGTTCTTCCTCCATGACTTTCCATTAATAACACCAGTTCAGATCAGATCAATAATCAATTTCACGTTTTCTTAAATCCAACAATGAAGTGAACATGCATGAAAAGTATAAATATCAATAACACATGAATTCTGATAAAGGACAGTTATGGGCCTCCTCTTGATCGTA